AGTAGTAGTAGTAGTAGTAGTAGTAGTAGTAGTAGTAGTAGTAGTAGCTTGATAACTAACCCGTAAAGACCACCTGATTGTTTGGCTCTTTGCATGATCTCGGTTTTCAGGCCCCCCCTGGTTGGCGCCCCCAGGGGTCTGGACGCCGACCGAAGCCGAGGTCGAGACCATGACTTGGACAATCTGGTGCCCGCCAAGGCCCGCCTCAGTCCGGAGACCCGAGGAAAGCGAGGACCGCGGAGCGAGCGGAGCAGTCAAAGAAGCTGCTGTTGGTTTTTTGGGGCACCAGTTAGTTAGTCAGATGGCTGGGGTAGTGATTGGATTCAAAGCACCTCCTGCTATATATAGATAACTATATTGTTGCAAGAGAGTCTAGAAACCACCCGAACTGGCAACGTTTGGGGTTCGATACTGTGTTTGCCCAGTCAAATAGCGTTGGGACTAGCGTTGGGATGAGGAGCTTCAAAAATGCGATGGGTGTTATATGGAACCCCAAAATTCGGAAGCTACTGGTTTCAGAAAATCATGTGCAAAATCATTCTGTGAAGGGGACACGTTCAAAGGCCCCCAAGCAACTATAGTACCAGCCAGTATTCTGGGAAGAAACTAAGAAACTCCAAAGTATAGCAGCAAATAGCAGCAGTTCTTCCATTTAGCAACTGTACCGGCCAAAATACCGGCCTGCGCTATTTTATGGGTGTATTGAATTAGGGAGACCTCCCAACGACCCCCTGGAAGATGGAACATAGACCACACAACCCATTGGTGGGGGGAGTCCCTATTGAAATACACACCTATAATCACCTATATATCCTATACTCTGTTCCAAGAAAGGCAGATGAGTCGCGTTCCCGACCTCACCTCGGTCCGTTGTTCGGGTCTCAGAACACCCGAGCACGTTGAAGCACACAAGCTCAGCTGCAACGTTCAATGCGCTTCAGCACAGTGCAAGCGTCAACCGCAAACAAGCGCCAGCCGCAAGCCGCAATTGTGCAAGCCTTCCATCGTTTTCCAAGATGTGTCAAACGTTTTTTAGCACTGCTCAGTCCAGATGAAGGCACACATTTCAACCAGAATTGGTGTGGTTGTTCAATGTTGGAACAACACGAAGTCACTGTCAGAGCTTGGCCGTTTCTTGCTTTCTGGATTGAAGCCACCTAAGTTTGTGACGATCGAACTTTGGGACAGCACAAACACCAGGACGCTGACCATCCATGTCAATGTTAATGAATATAGTTACTGGCATAATCTTGCATGTAATGGATAGACCATGATAGACATGGGGTCAATGGTCTCGGGATGTTTGAGCCCTTGAGCCGGAAGAAAAAAACACACACACAAAAGCAAAAACAAACCACCAGACTGGTCCGCCATCCTCAAGGAGGGGTTCTGATCAGGGTGGAGAATCCCATCAACGGTGATGCAGCTCGCGGCGGCGTGATACATTTGGTCCCGACCTGGTGAATCTGGTCGCTAAGACCCAACTGTGAGCTGAGCAAATGACCACCCAAACTGGGGTGAACCCGGTAACTAACTGTAGATGTCGGTAGATGTGTTCTATTTCTTCGTATTTTTTCCTGGGTCTTGGAGAGGAAATCTCACTAGAACCCAGGACGCCCACCGGACATCCATGTTGGCTGATTCAGCCCCAAAGACTTGAGAGGCGACCGTGGTCGCCCTGCATTGATTGAATGGTTTTGAACCGAACCAAAATGGTTTATACTCACTCCCTAATTCTGAAAGTGGGACTGGGGTGGGTGCCAGGAGGGTGCCACTCATACCTTGTGATACCTTCTGAGGAGGTACGGCAGGAGCTCTATATAGGGACTATAGCATAGCCACAATTATAAGGATTATTGACTGCAACACCAGACCAGGTCCACCCAGCTATTTGAATGGTTTTTGAAGGCTAGTGGCTAGGGCACTGCGTCAGGGATCTGGATGCATGGGAACAGAACCACGCGAGTGCTTTTTGGAACCCATGCCATACCTTCCTGAGTTTTCTGAGTACTCATTTCGCCTGAAGATCTGCCACAGATGATACTGTCCCTTCAGGGCCCTACCGTAGCAATACATCTATACGTCATCTACAAAACCATCCGTACCCAGCGGGTGGGTGCCAATCCTCCATTCCGCTCCCCCACACCCTTGGCCTTACTACGTAGCTAAGAGGAGGAAGCTACAAACATCGCCGCGCGCCAAGGGCATCGCGAACCGAACCGGAGCGTTCGGACCGCTACGAAACGGGGGCTCGGGCTGGCCGCCACCCGGTCGCCACGGTCGCCGCACCGGTCGAGACGGGGAGTGCACCAGGTCGGCCGCCCCCGCTACCCTCGACGTCCTGGTTTTCCGAGAGGCGCCGGTCGAGACTGGGTCGGTCCCTTTTGGGGTCCAATTGGGAAGAGAAGGATGGAGAACTATGAATTTGTGTGTGTGATGTTCCATATGATGTTCCATGTTTTGTCATGTTTTGCTTAGCTTGGTACTTATTTTGTGTCATGTTCCATGTTTCGTCTATCGTTGTGATTTTTTAAGGATTGTACCGGCCTTTATGTCGAAGAACTGCTTCAGATCGGAAGCATGTCACTCCACCTTCCAGTGAGAGGCTGGTGGGGTCTGACAGCAGGAGCTGACTGAAAAGAAAGGGTAGGAGTTTGTTGGACAGTGGAAAGGAGCTGACTGAAAAGCAGAACAAACAAGTTCCATTTGAAAGAAGGGGTGGGGTCTGACAGCAGGAGCTGACTGAAAAGAAAGGGTAGGAGTTTGTTGGACAGTGGAAAGGAGCTGACTGAAAAGCAGAACAAACAAGTTCCATTTGAAAGACGGGGTGGGGGCTGACAGCAGGAGCTGACTGAAAAGAAAGGGTAGGAGTTTGTTGGACAGTGGAAAGGAGCTGACTGAAAAGAAGGGGTAGGGGTGTCACGGTCTCATGGCGTGTCCACTGTCCAACACTTGGTCCACTTGTTCGCCTCGTCCATGGGCTCGACTGCTCAGAACTCTGTCGAGTGGTCTCCACACGCTTCGCACCGCATTTCTCCGCATCAGCCAAGCAAAGGCCAAGCCAAAAGCACGCATCAACACATATACAACACCACTAAATGAATGGTCGAATTCAAATCAAACCAACCTTCATGGAGGACCATTTCCTTTTTGCTCGCACAGCGCATCCGAAATGTCTACAACCTCCAAGGGTCGGTTCGCCCTTTGCCTTCGACTCGGACCTCGCACCGGTCGACTCGCACTCGTCGCACTTTGGTCTCCCACTTCGCTCGGGCTCGGTGCGTAGGTCGATCTTCTCGGAAGAGCATCTCTCGGCCTCCAACCGGAACGCCAAAATTCCCGTGCTGGGCGGTTTGAAGGCGCAGGCGAGAGGGTGGGTGTTTGGGGGGAGAGGTGCCGGGGTGGTGCCGGGGCCAGAGCTGAGCCATTTAGGCTGAGGTCCGTGCCTGGAAAGAGCCTTCTGAGAAGGGGATTGGAGACTATTGTAGACACAAGGAGGGCCCAGTCGTACCTACTGAAAGGGTGACAGTGGATCCCTATAGGGTGTATATACTCGCGGGTAGTCTCGCGTAACAACGACCCTGTCGGACGACTTGAATGATGTTATTATCCAGAATCGATGGAAAGAGATTGCAAGATCTAGTAGCCCTTGGGGTGACAAAGACACTGCCATCATAGATTTTATTTGGAGAAAACCGCTTCAAGGCATCAGATTGATCATTTGTCTACGAAGTCTGGGTCAGAAGTATTCAACTTGCTGAAGTCCACACTAAATCAAACGCTGTTGTTCGTTAGTTATTCTATAGCTTAACCAGTTCTAATAGAATCTCCAATTACAGTAACTCGCTGTCATTATCCAAGACTGCATGAACATGACCCAACATGGCCCAAACCACCAACATGGCATCCGAATCGACGTTGAGAATGAAACCACATCGCGTCGACCGTGGGAGCCTCTTCCGTCTCTGCCGCCAGGAGAGGCACGTGCTGTCCAAGGACACGACCGGTCAACCCTTGAGCACGGCCGCACGAGTGGCCATGGTCGCTCGGCGGAGGGGACCGAAGGCGCTGGTTGGAACGATGGTCCCACAGCGGAACGGAGCATTCAGTTGGTGGACCTGGTCTAGTCCAGAATTTTGATTAAGTTATATCCTAGAGGGAAGGGAACGGAGCTCATTTTGACTGGAGTTGACCATGCCATACAGTAATTGACCAAAACAATCAGAAACACAACTGTTTTCAGTGCCAGATATGGACCTGTATATATAGGGATTTTGCCGTGACATCGGTGGTTTGTCACTCTTTGTAGAGAAGTGGTTTGCAGTAGAAGGTCCATTGTCCCTTGCTCTTTGTCATGATTGTCTTGAAAGTTGGCCAAGAGTTCAACTCCAAGTTCTGAAGTGTTTTTGTTGGGCCGACAAACAAAATCATTTAGCAAGGCACAAACATACATACCTACCTACCTCCCTCCATCCATCCATCCATCCATCCATCAATCCATAACGTCCCAAGACGCCTCACCTCAACCGCATCACTGAACTCTAAACTCTCCAGAGCTATTCTGACGTTTCTTGAGGTCGAAGGCTGGTTCATGCGGCGCGTACTCGCACGGCAGAAGTTCGAGCAAGGCGCCACCGACGCGCGTGTTTGAGGTCGTTTCATCAGGGTTTCTTCAGGGCTGGAGAGAGATGGTACTGTATATGTATATATATTATATATATGCTATGGCTCCCCGAAAAAAGGTTTGGAAGGCGGTTTCAATGGACAAAGAGTTTTGACCTACATGACATGACCTGGAAAAAGACATGTTTCACATGATGGTGAAAACTGGAGGCTCAGGATTTCAGCCTTCAGAGAATGAAGGCCAATCTGGGATACACTGGCATACAGATGAATATATACCAACCATAGCCACAACCCCCAAGATGTCCAAGATGGGTCCCTGCACCCAGAAGTGCAAGCTTGGTTTGTGGGAAGGCCAATCCATGCCATACTTCAGGAGGAAGAACGTCCATTTCCTTCCTACCGGGCTCCATGCGGATCAGTCCATCAGTCCATGGGCAGGGTGTGACGGTCAAGTACTTGTACCTGGACCCCGACTGGTACTTGTACCTGGGAAACTGGGTATAAGATGTTTTTGTTCAGGTAAACAAAGGTAAACATATATAACATCGGAAAAAAAAACACTCATATATGATATATACAGTATGTGTATATATATATAAGTATATAGATGTTTTTGTTCAGGCTCAGGTCGTGTACCATTTTCTGAGGCACTTGAAGTCGGGTCCAGTTATCCTGTGAAATTCAACTGTGTCAGGTGACACAAGTGCTTTGCAGGATTGAGGGGAGAGAGGGCTTTGACTTTGGCACCTGCAAGATGAAAAACTCTTGTCCTATAGTGGTGTATAGGATTACATATTATACAGAAGTATAGGCCAACATGCACCATGTCACGGACATCATCCAAGTGCCCAATAATGGCTCGCAAGTTTGACATTGCTACCCACCATGAATTGTTCTCCTGCTCCATGAATTAAGTTGCCAGAAGTAACTGGGTTGCATTTCTATTGAGACCACAGCGATCTTTCTTCATGACATCCTCTGAGCAGGATCGAACAGTACCGTAGTTCTTCCCCGCTCCAAGCTGGACAAACCCATCCAGAATAATAGCCACCCAAGGCACACTCACATCCCCAAGGACCCGGACGTGTTCAAAGTCCGTTCAGCTGCCGAGCGGCCGAACTTCGAGCTGCCAAAGCGACAGCTTCTTTTTGAGTCGCATCGAAGCCATCTGAGAAGGTCACCCCTACCCGTTGATTGTTGTTTCAGCCCTGCTTGGCTAGCCTGACATATGCCGGTCACACCATCGAACTCATCGAAGCTCTGCAGGCGAAACCTCCAAGACAGCACCTCCCATCCTCAGCCGACTCTATCAGGCCGGACATCGGTGCGGTGTAGACGAAGCGAGGGTGAGACAGTGACGAAGAGCCAGAACCGGACACGAAAAACCGGATGGGGCGGGGTCGGTTGCCTTTAAACTGGTTGGTTGGTTGAGTTGGTTGGTTGGTATATAGAGGGGAACCCCCCCAAGTGAATGGAACTGGATCAAACCCACAGGTCGGGCCCCAAGGATTGTCAAGGGCGCGTGAGCATCGGTGTGTCAACCAGCTGCCGCATGGGTGCTCGTGAAACCAGGGGCTGCTCGTTCGGTCAGCGAACCAACTGGTTACCGGCTATAGTCTATAGATGTCTATAGTCTATAGTTGTGGATCTTCTGGCCAATAGTATCTATAGTCTATAGATCGATGTCTATAGTCTACAGTAGCTTGCTTGAATCCCCTACCAATAACGGGTCAAAGCTGAGAAACCACGACTCTCAGTTGTGGAGGCGTGCGGGCTGATCAAGTGACAGAGTATATTTTATGTTTTTGTTGTTGGACACCAGGCTGAAAGTAGATGGTACAATTGCCCTTGGATTAAACTTGATATCACATCAATGATGTCTATTTACTGTAAATCTCACTCTATTTGGTACTGTAGTTTGCAGCCTGTTCAAGTATTTGGACCATTTTGGATACAACAGATTTTACGGGGTCCAAGTGTGCTCAAAAGATGCATCCCATTGGATAGCTCCAGGGACACCTTGACAGCTCCGCGGCCACCTTTTAGGCACAACCTGGTGCCTACATGTGGCACATATAGGTGAAGACACCATGCTTACCCTCAAAAAGAGGGTGGCAATGGATTCATATATAAGGATATTGAATGATATTGATGTGTTTGCTTTTGTCGGAGTTTGTTTTGGCCCAAGAAGACTTCGCTTCGCCCAGCTTCGCCCTACGAGTCTTATCTCAGCCATGACACGAGTCTTGCTTTTGCTCGCCCTCCTGAACTTCTCGGTGGCGGGGAAGGTTAGACGCTTGGGTGGCACACCCTCGATGGACACCAGCAGCAGCCATTCCACCCCCACGAGCTTCACCATGGTCTCCCGTGTGCCTCGGTTTCTTCAGAGCCGGACCTCCAGGGTCTCCTGGTGCTAACGAAGGGGTTCTTTTCTGCTCGAGGGTCACGGTGCCAAGCATTTGATTCAACACCGGACCGTATGTTGTCACGTGTTGTCACTGGGTGCAAGACCAGAGGATTACAACCCAACTCAGATGGAGCTCTGGAAGCCCAGAATTCACGAAGGTCATCGAATGTCCGCCTTGGAATCTTTCGGAACAGGCTTTCAGTCTTTGACGTCGAGTCTTCTCACCGTCTCACCCCATGAACGGTTCACCCCAAGCTGCCGATGTTCAGGTGGATCGCATGTCCAGATGAAGACGTCTGATGGCGATGTTCACCGGTACATTTCGGATCGCATCGGTTTTTTTCGGGCGAGTTCATGTAATTCGCTCGCTTCCCACATGTTTAACACTCTCTTGGGTTCGGTTCCTTGGATGGGCTCTTATACAAATGCTATAGTACTATAGGATCTAATTGCGACGCATCTGGTTGTCTCCCGGTCAATGCGATGACCAAAACATCTACTCTTGACTTGTCTTCAAGGTCTTCATTCCCTACAACACGGCAGCAAATTCATTGGCTTTTGGCATGGGTGCAGCCGAGCAGATCGCCTATGACCATGTCCAGAAGTATCTTGGAAACAGTTTGAGGATGTGTTTGGCAATCCCTTCCATGTACCACTGGTTTTGCTTAGGGTGATGGGTAAATCCCCTTCAACAAACACTTGCCACAATGTTTCAGCAGAGAGGGTGGATGTGTCCATTTGGTCCTGAATCGGGGGTTGTTACTGGTGAGAAGGGTTTTCCGTGATTCGTTCCATCATGCTATAATAGCAGTTTTTTCCTACTTGTATATATATATATAGAGAGATGCAGTATTATGCAGTTATATAGCTTTGCTGATTATGAGTGGATACAATATACACAGACAACCTTTGGTACACCACACCTGATCCGCTTGGAAGATGGACAGGATGGTTGAAGACTTAGTCATAGTCATCAACAGCTCAGTCTTGCCTGTGGATATTCTTGAAATGCCCGCCCTAGGTACGCCTACGCCATCTCAGAGCAAGGTGTCCTGAACGTCATTGATTGGAATGACCCAAGCAACCCTCAGGCCCTGAGCCAGTGTCATCGTTTTTCAAACCCTCAGGAGGTTGCCAAAGTGTTCAATCCATTCTTTGCAGGAACACAATTTGTCCATGCCCAAAGTGTTCAACTTTGAACCCACGTTTTTGCAGGTCAATTCTGCTTTGGCCTATGACTTTCAAGGTGCCAAGCTGACGGATATTGAGATTTGTGCCGAGAAAGGCTGGGTTCCTTTGCAATTAAGATGACAACCAGCCATGTTTGATCACAACTTTCTTCAAGCTTTAGTTTCTCTAGTGTCTCTACCAAGACCAACACATTTGTTTAGAAGAGGATTGTTTTTTTGGTTTTAACCAACCATTCAATAGTGTGGTTCATGGTGTATGTTGTTTGCCTCCACTTTTGCCCGGCCGATTCAGGCCTGATGTTTATTGGCTCTGGCGCATCGGACAAAACGCAGCCGGGCACGGTCCATGTCTTGAGCACTGTGGACCGAAGCTCTCCCGCAGCGCCCATGAGCCGTGGAAGCCTGACGGCGGGGCCTTTGCCAGACATGATCCTTCCAAACAGCGATTGTACCAAGCTGGCCGTGGGCAATGAGGGTCACTTGGAAGTAGCAGGCATCAGCAAGTGATTATAGCAACATATACTCAACTATACAAGGTGAGGGTTTGATCCCCCTTGCTAAGACATTTGATACAGATACATCAATGAAGATTCAGCACGACGTATATGGTGCAGGACAGTAAGGAACATTTGCACATTGAATTCTTTCCGACTCGCGACGAGGTGAGGGTGACTATGACACAAGTCTGGTGGATCCTGCTGGAAGTGTGACCTGGTTTTGCAGCATTCAGGTGATTTTGGTTAATGTCTATCTTTTATGTCTCCCGGAACTGGGTCAATCCCCGAACCCGGGCAATATTTTGTGTATATGTATACGTATATTTGGTCTCCCAGACATCCATATACTGTATGGATTTGTATGGTATATTGACGGGCGCTTTTTGTTGGGGATCCTTTGGGGCGGCAAGCGTTTTTTTCCTCTGGGAGCCACGCAACAAATCCAAGAGGTGATGATTTTCGAGAACTCCGACTGGACGGATCTCACCAGCACCGTGAAGCACACGGTCACTCTGGACTCCTACACGGACGCAGAGCTCATGGCCAACGGGGTGTGGCTTGGCGGTCGTCAGGTGTTGGTCTTCCTGGATTCCGAAGGTTTTTCGGGCGTGGAATCCTTATTTGTTGGTCAGTATTGTTTGGAGAAGCGGCAGGTTAAGAGGGGGTAGTGGCGGGAAGTTGCGGACTTGAACATGAGGAATGAGTCCACTACCCAGGAGAGTTTAGTTGGACTTGAACAATGAATGTCTCATCAGGTTCATTGGCATTTTGGAAACCCATTCTGCTCAAGTTTCAACTGAGGCATTTGCCGCTGCCTTTGGATGCCATGGCGCAACTTGCTAAGACCTGAAATCCGAGCATCAATCCCCTAGCCTTCCAAGGCATTAAAGAAATGCTCGACCTGGATTTGTAGTGTTTGTTCACAAAATATACAGTAGTAAAACAATATAAACCAATGTGTTTTTTGTAGAGACTGTTAGTCAATGGATGTCGCGATTGGAATCCATTCTAATCCGTATCAACCCCGAAGTCAACCTCTTCCACATCGGTGTGGACCGAGCACGATGGACCCGGGTCTCAAAGCGGAACCCAGTGTCTTATGTGGCAACTCTTTGATGCGCAAGCACGAGGAGTTCAGTGGTTTCCATGTGGGTGTAGCGCCTCTCGAGACCCCAGAGTCATCTCGCTCCGGTCGGGTAGAGTCCATCTCTTCCCTCTTCCAGGGGGGCGTTACTGTACCTGGCATCAGTCTCCCTACTACATACCCAATGTGCATCATCTTTCGCGACATGCCATGAGTCACTGATGTGACTTATGTCACCGATAGGTATTGGGATGACCAGTCCATCTTTGCTTCTAGTTTGGACTTCAGTGCTGCACGAGCCACTTACAGCTCAGCCATGCGCCTCGGTGTGGTGTTCATTTCTTGTTTCACAGCGGGTCTCCTCAATGGATCGGAGCAATTGGTACATAACGCGTGATATGCTTTTCGGTACAGTGTCACACTGTATACCCTCTTGACTGCTTTATGTCGTATCCTTCTTATTCATTGGTATGTAGGGCTTGGCCTAAGGGAGTCTAAGGGCATGTGAAGAGTTGCTTCTGGGAGAGCCATGAGTTGCTTGGCCTGAGGGAGAGAGCCATGCAACGGACGCCAGGAACTTGGAACCTGAATATTTGGCTTGGTCAGCAGATGACTCCACTCTCTTTGTGAACCTGCAGGAGAACAACGCCATTGCCACCATCACTGTGACTGGGTAGCAGCTTGTTTCGGTGCCACCATCACGATTGGAGAGACTGGTGCTTTCTTCGTCCTCGTGGTTGTTAATATACCACCAAACCAAACCTTCCCAGGAAGGGCTGTCGAGTTTGAGAAATAGATTCCAACTGGAAAGAAAACCTAACCTTTGTTGCATGAGCAAAACTACTGTACCTCCAGATAATTGAGATTGACTGTGCTTTTGTAGGAAGCTCGTAGTTCCTCCACAATGAGAGGCTAGCGTCAATGTTCCAGATAAACCAGATTGAGACACAACTGCTGCCACCTAGGTGCCAACTTCTGGAGCTCCATCCTTGGCGAGCATCACTGGGCTGGGTTTGAAGGATCACTCATCGGTTCCTCTTGACATTAATAAGGGCGATAAGACCTGCAACCTTGCCACGTGCGCCACATGCCACGTGTGAGTTGAGAAGTCAAGTAGCTAGCAGTTAGCGCATGCTTTAGGAAATATCTTACGTATATCTTGGTGTCATGTTCTCCTAGTTGAGGAACAAATAGACCCAGATCAGTGAGATCCGTATTCCAGGTACACTGGGCTCAAATCTCTTCGCTTGCCGGACTCGATCCAAGCCGTGCAAGTGGATGGCTAGACATACATTTTGACGGCCAACGAGGGTGATGACAAGGTCTGATAGTGAACCTGTGAGGGTCGGGCAAATCAGCTAACATAAGGCTTTTTTGGTCTATATGTGTGTTGTTCAACTAGATTCGTTGTTTGAGACACACAACACATCACAACACAATACAAAACTTTGCCAGACAGAAGATGATAGAAGTATATATATGCAGGTAGCCCCTTCTCACAAGCCAGCTGTTGCGGGGATACTCCCGGCGTCAACGACGGTCAAGCTTGATGGAAATAAGTGTCTAGCTCTCTTCAATCAACTCGCACGGAAAGGACAGCGCAAAGCGGTCGAACGGGCGAGGGCGAATGAACCCGGCGGAGCACTAGGACACTGGATTTTGATCCACTTAGCTGGTAGCGAGTACCAAGGTTGGCTTGGGTACGAGTGACACATCAACATCCCCCGGAACTCTCCGAACTTTGGTTCTCTTCATGGGCATTGTCCAAGGCGTCCAGTCCGAGGCGTTTGCGGTTTCTAGCTGACCTCATCAGAGGGTCGTCAACGATTTTCCAATGTTGTTCAAGGTGATAGAATTTCTGCAGCTGTTGGGGCTCCGAATCTTTTGTGAGAGAGTTTGCCAGTTGTGCGTCGCTGTGCACCCAACGTATCGGCATTTGTGTCTTTACACTAGCTTCCTTGAGGCCGATAAGCTCCAGACTAGTTCTATGTTCCGGACCCTTAGGGACATACACCTCAGTCTGCATGCGATCGTAGACGTTGGTGGAATCTGTCACCAACACTCCAGCGATCTTTGCAACTTGTTCCTCAGTGTGTCGCACCTGAACATGGTTTCCAAGCATCTCAAAAACCTGAAGTCGAATCCCGTACATGGCATCTTCACAGTCAATGGCAGCCAAAGATTCTGCAGCACCAGGTGATCTACACTGTCTTTCGATTTTTCCTGAACGCCAAAACACAGGACTCACAGGACAAAGATCACCGGAAAGAAGTCTTTTGGAAGTGATCCCTATCACAATCCCTAACGTGCTCTTGCCATCCTGCCTGTTTTGGGCAGCAGCGTCTGCCCAGCCCGCAACTAGAAGATCAGAAACCTGTATGTTACCATGAATTTTCAACACATGCTTCCTATGACACTTGGTTTTGTACACCAGTTTGTTGATTTCTATCATCGTACTAACCGTACTGTCTCGCACCTGTGAAAGAAACAAACTAACTCCAGCTGCTAAGTGAGGGCTGGTTTGTTGTGCACACCAAGAGAGAGCTCCTAAGACGGCTCGAATTCTCGTCTTTTCTCCTTCAGTAGTGTGTGATTTAGGCTCCCGACGACGTTCGGCCGAAATACTCAGCTCGCGGATGTCGTCGATATACTGTGTCTGAGACAGGTCGAAGCCTCCTGTCTTGGTCCTCTCAACCTTGACGCCACATTGTGTGAAGGAGTCGTACTCCCATGTCCCCCACTGAAACTTCTTTTGTATTTGATCACACAAACCCTTCCATGTTACACATGACTCCCGGCCACAAAACAAGAAGTCGTCCACGTGTCCACTAACCAACCCGACAAGCTTTCCATGTTGTTCGGTGTACTTGAAGCAGCATGGGTCGCACACACAACGTTGAAAGCCGATGGAGATGAGGAACTCTGAAACGGTCAAAAACCACTCCAGCGGCGCATCCACAAGCCCGTAGCAGGCTTTCTTTAGCTTTGTGATGGAACCTGCTGGGATTCCAAGTCCGTCACAGATCTCATCAGTTGGGATGACATAGGCATCATGTTGGTATGACCTCCCTTGCAGGAAGGCCCCTGAAACATCTCCCTTGGCAACTCTCATGCCGTGGCTGGCGGCCACGACTAGGAGGATTTGTCTCGTGCTTCTGGACATAGTTGGAGCCATGGTCTGTCTCTCGGCATAGCAAGGATCCTGGTATCCTAGAACAACACAACGGGCCTTGGCCTTTCGTTCACCGGACTCTTCGCGCTTCCAGGTGAGTACCCAGCGCATTTTCATGGCCACGCCTCTGCTGGGCTGAAGGTGTGGTGGCAATGCTTTCAATGCATCCGCCGCCAAGAACTTTTTGACTTCAGTCCCCTTTGCAATCCTCATTTGTTCTCGTTCGTCGTCGGACATGTGGCGTTCTGACACTTCAACTCCCTTCCTTCGAAGCTGGGCTGACAAAAAGGACTGGAAATGATTGGTCATGTACAGTCTACCCCTCTTACTATCAGGAACTTCGATTCCAATTTCCACTGCCGCTTGGCTGGAACCCCAAAAACACTCGGCATATGAATCCTGAAACGTCTCGGGTATGTCGCAGTCCGCCATGTGTCCGAACGGGTTTCGTTCTTCATTGCTCCCTGACGCTTCTCTACTTGGCACAGGACATTCGGGTGCGGAACGTTTCTGTCGAACGCGTCGAAACGTTCGAACCTGTTCCTCATCCCTACCTTGCTCGATTTCCATGGGTTCAGGGACTTCACCAGAAACATCATCAAAACTGTTGTTCCCTAAATCAGTGGTCAACTGGGTGAAGGTCCATGGCAAAACAGGATTAGGATTGGTAATGGCTTCAAGTGTTTCCTCCCGAGCGGAGGCATGCCTCAGTTGAGTCACGTTGTCCTTAATTAAACGTCCGGCACGAACCAACCAAACCACCGACCCTGGATGATAGTTACCTTCCTCGGTCATTCGTGTTTCGACGGCGAGCACTCGACAAGGTCCGGTGTATCCGCCGCTTCGAGATGAAGCAGCGGGTCCTTTGGTCAGGCCTTGGATCCTCCAAACAAAGACAAGGTCTCCAGGAAGGAACCTCTGAGGAGCATAGCTTCTAGTGTTCTTGGCTCGAGTGATCCGATCGTCGTACACGAAATCGGTGAAGGCCTGCTCTGCCGTCCTCATACGTTCCTGGTTCCGTTGAAACTCACCTTCGGGGTTTTCACACAGGGTTTCATGATCGATCGGTCCGACTTCACTGCCAAAACGTCCGTGGGCATCAGGAGACCGTCCCAAAGCGTGTTGTGCCGGACTATATCCACGAACGACCTCTCGTTCGTTCTCCACTCGAACGGCTTCCGACAGGGCTTCCTCTGGTGAGATCTCGGGTTCTGCCAGTGCCAACTTGGTCATGATGTGCTTGGTGCACTGGATTGCTCGTTCCACCTGGCTGATTCCCCAATGGGCCTCTGCAGGCACCACGTCCAGTTCTACCTGTTCTCTACTAAAGTAGTCGTCCACCATGTGTGACCTCCAAGGTCCTGCCGGATCAACCCTCAACTTGTGGGGCTTTCCAAAAATGGGTTTCCAACACTCTTGATAGAATTGAATCATTTGTTCCCCGGAAACACCCCCAGGACCCTTTCTCATCACCTTCCCAATCCTAAACCGACAACCTTCGTCGATCAACAAAGTGAACTGAACCCGAACCTTCGAGTGTGGATGATTCCAGAAAGCGCAATCGGACTGGAGTACATGCCACTTTGGTACTAAAGGTTCGAGACTCACTCTAGGTCTAGGCACATGACGTTTGAGCTCCTGACACACTGAGCAATCAAAGGTCCGGGCCAGCTCGATGATTCTAGGATCAGCACGTCGTGACTTTAAGGCTCGTACCAGGTGTTCTATTGGCCCATGTCCCGTGTTTCGATGAAGCATTGCGATATGTTTCAGGGCGGTTTCTTTTTCCTCGGGAGTGAGATCAGGTTCATCCTCTTCCCGTTCTCCTACCAAACTCAACACCTCCCCCGATTCGTGGCTCAGTTCACACATGCTACACTTCATGTCACTACGAGGGTGGTGGATCTCATTACAACAACACTCCATGTCATGTTCTTTCAAGTATTTGGGTGGTCCGTGTTGTCCTGACAGTTCTCCATGAATGTCACGGGATCTTTGGGGATGCAGGATGGCGCGACAAACACGACGAGCGAATTCGGTGGTGTAGTATGCGGAACGCCTCGTGAGAGCACCTTGACACACGGCATGTTTTCCGGAACATTGACAGGGCAGCTCCATTTGTTGTGCCAGGCTGCGGTGTGTGGTGGCCATCTTCCAACCCTTGCTCAACAACATCCCTTGCTTGTGGTCTTTCAGGTTCACACGACAACCCTTCGTGACACAAAACAAAGGAGGATATCGTTGAAACACCCTTTGAACCATCGGAAGCCTCCACGCGTCGCACGTCTCCGACCACTCCCAAGTGGTGGGGATGCCGAGTAGGTAGCAATAGGTGTAGATAGCTAGCCCTCCGACATACATGCGAATGCACGACTCCCGTTTTTGTTTCAGTTCCAAAACTTGTTTTTCGTTTCGTTGGTTCACCTGTTGCATACGACTGAACGGACCGCATTCCGTGGAAATCCAAACATGTTCCGGCCGTTGTTTCTTGATGGCCACGAGAATGGCCCGAACTCCAGTATTGGTTCCTATATCATGTCCGTTCCAGTATGCAAAACGCTGTGCACTCGACGGTCGATTGGTGATCAGCTGCATCTGTTTTGACAGCACGGAGTCCGGTGCGCAAGCAAGTTCAAAAAGGATGGGCTTCCTGGTCTGTACGAGAGCCTCCATACTGTCAGGAAGCAGTCTCTCAGCTTTCCAGCTGAGAGTCTTGACTTCTGAGAGGCTTAGCTCTCGGCTCTCACATTCAGGCCCATCCGCCGTCTCTCCATCCGAGAGCTCATAGGCTTCCATGGGCCCTTCTACTGCAGCTCCGACACTTGGTCCCATTCGCTCGTAGAAGTGACGTCCTCGGCATGACGAGTGCGGCGCTTGGCTTCCTTCGAGCTCTGCTTCACCTGTACCATGTCGTCTGACAGGTTCTTCACCGTCACCATCAAATTCTGAAGCATTGCCTTGACCTCCTCGCCCTGCTCTGGTGTCAGAGGTGCACTCGATGCCGATCCCGACTGAGGGCTGCTCGACGCTGCTCCGGGCTGGTAGCCCGATGTCTTCGTCTTGGTGCCCTTCTTCTCCGGCATGGGTGGAGTCTCGATGTGTCCCACTGACTTCAGCCATGTGGCCAGGCGACGAAGTCGTGGACTGCATGGGCCCTCGGACGAGGTTGTCAGCACCCACTGGCAGTATTCCGGTTGCTGGGATTTCACCTCCTTGTACTTCAAGTGGCACCACTGTCCAAATCCCACGGGGTCCTCCGCATGGCCGGGAATGCTGTTGTACGCCCGATTCAAGGCCTTCATCTTGAGGATCTCCACTGTCATCTCCATGCCCGTGATATCCACTCCCATCTCTTCCTTCACAAACTTCTGCAGGTCCGCCTTGCGGCGAGCTGCCTTGTTGGTGTTCACCTCCATCTGCCGAAGCGGTGACACTTCCTTGGCCTGAGGGAGCATGGCCTCTTCTCCTTCGATCTCGATCAGACGAAGCTTCAGCTGCGCCTTCGTCCAACCCTTCGGCGCCTCTTCGCCGTGCTGGGACAGGCGCTGTCGTAGCTCTGCCAAGCTCATCTGGTTCAAAGACATGGCTCGCTTGCACGTGATGAACACACTCAAATCGCGCTAGGGGTTCCGGTTCGAACCTCAAACTGCGCGCCGGCGCCCTTGACTCAACTGGTGCACCAATCAGTTCACCTGTCGGACCTAATGCATCTGCCTCACATGAGTGTGCATGAAACTCACAGCCAAAAACTGGAAGTCCGTCGTTCGATCGTTTCGACAAAACCGCGAGCGAGGAACGAGTGAGGTGAGTTCCTGAGTCTAGGCGGTTCCAAGGCTCCGACGGGCGCGAATTCGAACGAGTGTGCGCGTCATGTGTCTGTACGTGTTGATGTGCTTCATTATCCTGAGTTGTTCCACATTGACCTTGGCCCGGTGGTCGATTCAAGGGGCACTCTTGGTCCATGTTGTGAATGTCCTGGTGTTTATCTTTCTTGTTCCCATGGGTCTTTCCGCTATTCTTCGAGTTCCAAAATGAATCATGTTCGAGTTCCCCAAACTCGTACCCAACCTTCCCTGCAGCACTTTCGACCTTTCTACCTGGGGCAGGGTCCGAGGCAGAAAGGAGTTGTCCCTACTCCAAGTCCTTCAAGGATCCCAGCGGCTTCGCCAGATCCACAGCCTGCGTGTAAATGTCGTCCGTCAGGGGCATCAATTGATGTCCCGCGGATGACCGTTCCAGGCGAATCATCTTTTTGGGATCAACATGACGAAAAACTGCCAAATCATTTTCAAAATCGATCACGGCACCTAGTCGCCGTAGCGAATGTATGGATAGAAGAATCGGTGCTGAGCCTTCATCTAAGGCGTGTACCCTCATGGTACCCAACCTGCCGGCCATCGGCACTTGCAGATCCGCCGTTGAGGCGCACTGGTTCTTGCTCGAATTCCCAAACCCAAAAATGGGTCTATCGGAAAAATCGATATTGGCTACCCCTGTCGCTCCCCGTTTCCGGGTGTTCAAATCAGTCACACGTTCCAGGGCCGTGATCGAACCTATGGTCCTAGTCGCACCGCCGTCCAACACCGCCTTGCCTTCAGCAACGGCTTGGGTGGTGGATATAAAACTTTGGGATGATTCTGTTGACATGTCGCAGGCCCCAGCCATGCCTGCCACGTGCTCGTTCCAGAAGACGAACGGAGCAGCTTCCTCCGCCATGTGACCCTGCGAAGGCGGCTTGGGCTTCTCCTTGCACTCAGCGATCCTGTGCGGACCACCACATCGGAAGCACTTCATTGGAGCCCGAGCACGATTGCCGTCATCCCTTCCACCAGAAGCAGCTGGTCGGCCATAGAACTGCCGCGACATCTTCACGGCATGTTGCCGTGCCCTCGCATCTCTCAAGGTGCGGCGGTTGTCCTGAATGGCCGTCATGGCACTTCTGGCTCTTTCTTCTTCAGCTACCATGGCCTCAATCTCGTCCACGGAGAAACCCTCAGCCTCCAAGCTCATGGGATCACATTCCCCCATGTGGCCCCACTCCTCTTCCAGATCATCGGGACCTGAGTAGTTGGCAAGGAATCGCCCCTTTTCCGCGTCTCGCTTCCGGATGTCACTGTCCGACCAATGCTTGCGGAGGACCTCCTCCACGACTCGAACTCCAAACTCTCCACGAAGTTCCGCATGGAGAACATTTCGTTCCATCACATCCAGGCCGGAGTCCATGAACAAGTACCAACCCTGGATAAAGTCTGGCAGAATCTCCGGAAGCTGATGGCGGCTCCATTCGCTGGTATCCTGGCGATCATCCCTTGACCACGACTGCCCGTAGGAGTCATACCAGGACCAGTCATAGTAGCCCTGCCAACCATTGTAGTGGGTGTCCCACTCTTCGATGGGATCTTGGAACTCTGAGTCTCCTTGTCCAGACGAGACCTCATGAGGCCCCTGCTGACTCTCTCCCCCTGGCTCACTGCGGGTGTGAGAGCTTGGATGGCGTCCTGCAGTTGACGATGCCGGCCACGTTGAGGTCGATGCCATGCCATGGTCTCGCTGGTATCGTGCCATTGACTGTTGGGCTCGAGTGTAGGCCTCAGCCTTTCGCAGAATGAAATCTCCCATGGGTTCGCCCCGTTGTCTCTTCGTTCCACGGAAGTACTTCAGCAAAAGCTCGGACATCTCGGGCACTTTGGGTTGTCCTCGTTCGGCGCGAAGGGCAGCAACCAAGACACGCACCCCACCGTCATGAGACAGCCAGTTGGCTGGCTTCCCAATCAACACTCTCCGGGCCGGTCCACGAAGTTCAGCAGCTATGCGAGGACCGCACAGGTACCGCTTCTCTTTGACCACGGTCTGCTCGTAGAGGAGGCACATTTCAATGAACTCTTCAAAGCAAACAGCTTCTCCCCCCCAGACGGGCACTCCATCCTTGCTCTTCTGTACCCCAGTGTTGAGGCCACCTGTCGACTCTGTACGGCTCGGCAGTGCAGAGTACAAAGCATCACCTGTCCACATCCTACTGGAGCACAAGGCTCCGCTACCATGCAGGTAGCCCCTTCTCACAAGCCAGCTGTTGCGGGGATACTCCCGGCGTCAACGACGGTCAAGCTTGATGGAAATAAGTGTCTAGCTCTCTTCAATCAACTCGCACGGAAAGGACAGCGCAAAGCGGTCGAACGGGCGAGGGCGAATGAACCCGGCGGAGCACTAGGACACTGGATTTTGATCCACTTAGCTGGTAGCGAGTACCAAGGTTGGCTTGGGTACGAGTGACACATCAACAATATATATATAATTGAACTTTATGACCAGTTGGTAGTGGAATGCAAGATTCTGATGTGTTCAGTCAGGACTATGGAGATTGGGAGGAAAAGTTGAAGTTAAAGGCGCGACAAACACTGGGAGACTGAAAGCGTAAAAAAGCAGTCAGTCCTGGAGTGCTATTATTAATCTATGAACTTTCACTTGTTGTGAACGTAGTGCCAGCCGCTTCTGTTTGATGCAATAAATTTTGCATACCACTTGCAATGATTTACATTTGATTGTTGCTTAAGGATAGTGGTTTAAGAGCGTATCAACAGTTCATGAATTTAAGTGCCTCGCCCCTTTTTCTAAGACATGAACATGTTTGCGTCAATGTGGCTCCACTACGATGCGTTCTTTTCCTGCAGGATTTGGTGGACTCTGATGGCACCCCAGATTCCGACATGCTGGGGATGACCATTAGCGCGGATGCTGCAAGCGCGGCCCTGGCAGTTCATGCACCGACAACTTGCGGAACTTTGACCAGAGAATCAGGAAACAATTTATGTTTTTGAAGATCGGTTTTCCTACCAGCACCCTCCTGGCCAGGCTGTGGGATATGAGGGTTGTTGGACCCTGTCTCAGGTCGAACCATTGGTGACCTGTTTGTCGTCGGGTCCTGGTAGATGTTCCAATAATTGAACTTGAAACAGGTGAGATGGACAAAGGATGACAAAGGGTGGATGGTCTGGGCCAAACTCTCAAAGCACAAAATCTCAACAGCATTGAATATAGAGGAAAGCAGTCGACAACAGTAGACAAACGTAAGACGTTTGTATTGTTTTTTAGATGCTCAGCCTGCTCTCGGTTAGGGTTATAATCCCAATATGGGTAAAACAACTTCTGGGGACCGGGGAATATGCGTTTCTTTTTTTCCTGAATCAGACAAAGTCAATCTACTACTTGTAGGATGTTTGTTCGGGGCCAAAACCATGTGGCATGTTTACTATCATGTGAACAAATTGGTCAGTGCTTGCGATGCCGAACCTGCCATCTCAGGAAGCTGAACGGCCTACGACCACTCTCAACAACTCTCAACTACTTTATCAGAAATATACACACATATTATGTCACATATTATATATATGTAGATCTCATAAATCAGAATGATACTTTTCCTCCAATAAACCATGGAAGTGGACAGTAGACAGCCCTGTTGGTACAGGAAAATCGTCTTCCCAAAGAAAGTGCATTCCACTGCCATGCTTGTTGGAGGATTGGCAGTTACAGTATATGTGGTTATAGTTATATAGTTACACTCTCAAATAACAAACCTTCTCCCCTTCTCAGACCTTCCTTGGTACCTGGACCCTCCAAAGTACCTTGGAAAATGGGACATGACTTATACCCATTTTCTGTGTATTTTGGGACTCCAGGTAAGTAGATGGTTGCTCTAGGCCATAAGATGAAGAGTTGGAAACTCGGGAGCCAATCAGGGGGATATCCACGTAGGCACGCGCAACGAGCCAAAGAGGAAACCATAGTTCACAAGCACAGGCCACCAGGCTGCCAGTGGCTTGACCTCTTCATGTTTCAAAGGATTTGTTCAGCTGATGATCAATGACTCGTCAATGACTCCTATTCCCATCCGCTCAGGGTCACTGTCGGCTCCACTGCCGTCGACTACTCCAACACCTCAGCTCCGCAGATTCAGCACATTGTGGCCTTTGGCGGTCGTGGCATCTCCATCTACGAACACTCCGCCGGCGGTCTGTCCTTGACCTGGGACTCTGGTGCGGAGTTCGAGACACAGCAATGCGCTCATTTCCCCTGGGCGCACAATGCCATCCAAGACGAAGAGTTCTCGCCGGTGAACGGGACTTTGTACATGATGGACACCTAGCTGAAGACAAGCTGAATTTTGGAATCCCCCTATCCGGAGCCGATGTCATAGAGCAGAGATCAGCAGAGAGAGGGCTGATAAGAGTTCCATTTGAGTGTGTATATATTATATATATATATATATTTATTTTTTTTTGAGCCTAGCACTTCGGTCCGAAGCTTAAAATCACAAGCCCTTCTGGAATCTGTTGGGTTCAGCTCGGATAGAGTGACACCCCCTCACGACCATCCTCACCAAACGCTCCTTTCAACAGATCCCATGTCGTTTTTTGGGGACACTGTTTGTTTGGTGGAATCCCTGGCAATTCCTTGCTTCAAAACCATTTCCAGAAGATCAAGAGGTGTTAATAAGAGTGATGTGATGGGGGTGTTCGTGGATGCGCTTTTTGCCCGCATCTTTTTCAAACCCTTCACTTCGCATCCTTGAGATCCACCCATCCCAGGATTCCAAGATCCGCGAGACGTTGGAGGAGATGGCCGCGGAGTGCTCCGACGGCGGCGACGGCCGCCCGGGCGCCTGTCCCCTGGGGCAGACGGTGGACGATCGCTCCGAGAAGGACGGCGCTGGGACGGAGGCCATCGTGGCGGGCCAGGCCTGTGGTTCGCTAATGGCGGTCACCGCCACGGAGAAGTCCAGCACGGTGACTTGGAGAGCTGGGCATCCATATGAAATGAATTGGAGGAAGGAACATAGTCAATTGTTTTTGAATGTTGTTGAAGAAATCGTTGAACACTTCGGTGAAATTTGAAGATCCGGAATGCCATCCAGAAGGGGGGGTGGGCATGGGGCCCGAGCTTCTTGCAGGTTTCTTAAAGCAAGAAAGCGGGCTCCTTGATCCTGCAAATGCATTAATCAATGGAAGCAACATCTGAAGAAGAAACGTGTAAACACTTCCTGTAATCTAAAAACTGCAGAGACTTTGGAGCCAGATCTGGGAGCGGTCTCTCTCCAGTTCTGCTTTTGGGTGACCCCCTCCAGGCACGTTTCCAAAAGTAAATTACACTGCAAAGACTATGAAGTCAGATGTGGTAACATTAATTATTTGCATGTGTGTTGCCTGTTTTGTGTGTTTGTGTGCGTGAGTCGGATTCTGAGTGTGCGTATCTTAACATGTTGGACACCTTAACATGTTGGACACTTTTCTTTGCGACGCAATTGCATCCCTGCTTCTATGCACAGCATTTCCCTGCCTGTGTGCATTCTTGCAAGTTGACACAAGGGTTCAAAGGCACCCAACTGCCTCATGCCCGCTTCTATGTAGGTGCAGGTATTTTGCTTAATTAGAGTAGATTTAGGCAATGCATTCTATTTGACAGCTGCGCCTTTTTGTGAAAGACACTTTTGATTTTCTAGTTGTATCAAAGAGAAGAGGTGTTCCTTGGACAGCAGGAATTTTCTTAGAATCAGATTCTTTAAGTCTACCCGCTGTTGAAAGACCTCAGTTCCTTGGCAGTTCTGTTGAACATTTTGACATAGAGGCTTTCCTTGAAGGCAAGCACGTGCTTGACTTTTACACTGTTGTTTTTAGCACATGTAGTGTGCACTTCTTGCTTACAAATCGGTTCCAGGTTCCAGACCAAAAGGACATTCACCAGAAACATACATTCACCAGGGTAACATTGCGTCAAATAATGCAGCCAAAATGTCTCACACGCCACGTTGAAGTACTGTATTCCATTGTGTTCATCAAGCAAGACAGCTATTGCAAAGATGATGGTGAAAAGAACATATGTTGTTCAATCAAGACGACCTTTGCAAATATTCAAGGTTCTACCATAAAGGAGTAAACCTGTGACAAAGAAAGTTGAGTAAATTATTCAATAATCTATAATATATATATAGGCTATCATCCAATTGATAAACATTTGGATATAGGCATAGGTAGGACCCTTACAAAAGGAACACACCTGAAATGTCCCTCTGGTGCAAGGTTTGCTACCTCTACATTTGCAGACGGTTGTAGAAATCACCCACAAATACACACATGAACAAATACTTTTGCAACATCGTGAACATATCTTTCACAACTCAGGCCTCATTTCCCCCCCCATTTTCCCGGCCAAAAGGCCCCAGACCACTTGGACCCGAGGGTGCAGGAACACCTTGCAACAGAACCGTTGAGGTCTTTGTCTATGACATCTCCCACATCGACTCTCCCAGCCTTCTCTTCGTCAAGCACCTCTCCCCCGCCTCTGAAACGAAGAACCCGGGCGTCGCCTATGCCGACCGGTCCTTGGGAGAGATCGACCCGGAGGCCCCGGTCCAGGGAGGGGCCTAGAACGAGAGAGGCGGATGGAGTGGAGGGTTCACCAAAGAAAAGTCCCACATCTTGTCACTGCTTCCGACTGCGGTCAGAAACTTGAGCAGCCCACACATGGAGTGAAACAAAAACGTGCAAACGTTTGACGATCATTTGGAACTGGAGGCCATTCTCCAACAGACATTATAACAACCATATGGAATAAATAACCGATGGGGTCATTCTGAGATTCTGCAGGGATTCCATCATCCCAACAGCCCTAAAGGTGTTCCAATGGTCTTTACAAAACAATCATTGCTTTTGCTAAGATTCTTGATTACAAATCAGGTCAACCATTCCTTTGATTGTTTTTGAAGACTAGGGAGTCCGGAGTCGATATTGGTCAAGTTTTTTGGACAGTAAACTGATTGGGAATCAAATAGAACTCTTTGGCATTGGCCTATAGCCCCAACATTTCATGGGACTGGTTTACTTGCATTCACCCCTGAAGCCACTACAAAATGGCATACAATGTATTTATTGAGTAAATTTGGGTAAGGTGGAGTGATTGGGTAGGGCTGCATTCTGTTTTGCAATCAATTTGTTCCCATGTGTTTTCTTCGGATTCCTTTGTTCCATCCGTTGTTCGAAGTTTTGTTGGCGGGGCCCACTGTGGTGATTGCCAGCTGGAGCAGACGGGTCTGAAGGGTGCACATATTCAATCCCATGTATATAGTAAGACTATCGATACTTTCACCCATTCATCGGACTGGCTGGCACGGCAGAAGATTGGGACACATTCAGAAGATTGGACATCCCAACTAATTCATGCCAGGTTCCGCATCGAGAAATTCGGCACGTCAACTCAGACCCCCAGCCCGTAGATGAACGGCCAAGGAGGGATGCCGGATGCCTTTGATTTCCCGAAAAAGAACGCTGTTTGGAGGTACATGTGGTGGGGGAATGAGATCCAGATTTGCGACCCCCTCCAATTCCAGCAGTCATCCTTTCCAGTGAACTGCACGGCCAAAGATGTTCATTTGTCGAGGCGATGATTTTTCTGGATGATGCTCATTCTCCTTCGGGAAAGGCGGGCGTGATGTTCGGAGGAGCTTGGTCTGGAACCATGTCCTTCTGGGAGTTCGAATGTCCATCTACCAGCGAGAGCAGTGGCGCGTCTGGAGCATCTTTGGTGGCCTTCTTGGCCCTCGTTGCTATCAATTTTGCCCGACCATAAAACTGGCGGGTAGAACATGTCATTGTGAAACTGGCAATGTCATGTTCCAGCTGGGTTTGTCTCAAAATTGTGTAGCGGAGAGCGCGAATGCAGTATGAACATTTGTCGGGAACCTCCTTGGTTTCTAATGGTTCTCCTCCTTTAGAATAGGAGACATGCCCACATGATTTGAGATGATTCCCGCCTTCACAAGAACGCACCACTCGAAAGAGTGCGTTTTTCTCAGTTTTCGATGTATATGGCACTTGCCTCCGCCTCCTGTCCGTGGAGCGGACACGGGGGGCACGGCGCCCCCCATCTGCCAAAGGTGCTCATGTAAGCTATGTGTCCTGTATAGACTTGCTCCGACTGGGATGTGTTGTTTTTTTGTTAAGTGATCTCCAAGTTGCAACCAGCTTGCACACTGCACGGCACCGCTTTTCTTTGCGGCGTGCAGAGGCATGAGATGTGCGGGGAGAACGGGTGCAGAATCTAATTTGCAGATCGTGCAGCAACCTTAGCTGGCTTTGATTGGAGCGAGGCATTGCAGCCTTGCAGTGCTACGTACGTTGTCAAAGCTACGGAAGAAAAGCACGTGTTCGGGCGTTTTTTTGTGCTTTGAGTGGGTCAAGCGTGATCTACTGGTGCAACAAGCACACACTTGATTTGGACATTCCCTTAAAAGCCTTCAGCTTCCAAATATGGCGTTCGCTCTCGGTTCAGAGAAGCCGTATACAGGTCAACGACCTCATTTTGCTGAAGTCGATCCTGCAACAACTTCTGAATTTGAATGAGGTAGAGGACCAGGTTTTACTGGGTCATTGAACCTGCAGTAGGTGCTTCCATGTTTTTTGTCCACGACCTGACGCATCGTCGTGTCGATGCGTCAGGTTGGAGACTCGAATCGACCCAGTTCTCGGGTGGTCTTTTCTCGATCGGAGCGCTGGTTCGATCGGAGCGGTCGCTGATGAGCTTGGTGGGTGGTGGGGCGGGTTGATGGGTTTCTGTGGGCGACAGAATCGAAAAGATCAGGCGATTCTGAAGATGTTCAGACCGTATAGCCTTTTGCGGATCCACATACCTTCTGAGAAGGTGATTGGAGATGATTTATGTGGGTGGTCTTGGAGGACCCAGTCGTACCGAACCTGAGAAGGTGGCAGTGGATCTCTAGCCTTAGGGATTCTGAAGACTTTCAGAGGTTCCCATAACGATCTCTGAGATTCAGATAAGCAGGTGTGCTATCAACAGGTGTTGATACACATGATACACGATCATAAAAGCTCCCCGCGGTCATAAACAACTAAGTTAGTTCATTTACACATGAATGAATGTTTGTTTTCGGGCTTCACCTATAGGACTGAATTTCTTAATTGTACAGTTTGCATAGGAAACCAACCTACAACATCGATTCATGTTTCCTACTGTTTCCAAAGACCCAAACAGAACACCACGCAGTTGCATCAAGCATCAAAAGAGCGATTCCAGATTCCGCGATCACGCGCCAGGTCATTTCGGATGGCACTTTATGGTTCTTCACCTCTTCGAAAAGCGCCTTTTGGCAGCAGACGAATGACGTTCACGTCTCGGTCGGGTCCCCCCGTGGATCGTGGCGGTTGGATCTTGGCTCCAAGAATGTTTGAACCCGACACTTTGCCAGGCAGCCCGAGCCCTGAACTCAGGCCGTGGAGGGTTGGACCAAGCCAAATGGGAACATAGTTTCTTGTTAATCAGGAGGGAAGTTCCTACATCTCCGAAATCGAACGAAGATTCCTATGGTGAGTTTAACGAGATGCGCCGGTGATTTGTGTTCCCATGCGTCCCCCCACTGTCACCCTTTGTTCAGCTACAGCTACGGAATATCTCACATGTTCAGCTACGGAATATCTCGTCCCCTGTTTCGGTGCGTCGGCTGTGAAGGGAATTGGGCCTCACCGATCGTTTCACCAAGGCGAAGATCCCCTTCCCTTTTCCATATCAGAACTTCGTTGAGGCCAGGGCCGATGTCAGGCCGCCTTCGGCCGCCTTTGGGGTGTTGGAGCGGAGCGTGGTCAGGTGGGAATTGAAACACAGACACCACCAGGGCCCCCCCATAAGGGGTATCTAATTATAGCTCCTTAGAGGTTAAGGGGCATCCATTAACCACCCCTTAGGGGTTTTGGCAGGGCCTTGATCATGTTGTGTGTATTTAGCTCTATATTAGAGTTCGGATATCAACTTACGATCCGTGCAATTCCAGAACGCCCGCCAGCATGTGCAACCAACGAAGAACGACGCGGCTGATGGTCAAATGGTCATGGGACCACTTGATCGACGATCCCTACGGATCCACATACCTTCTGAGAAGGTGATTGGAGGCTATTTATGTGGCCGCCAGGAGGACCCAGTCGTACCGAACCTGAGAAGGTGGCAGTGGATCTCTAGCCTTAGGGATTCTGAAGACTTTCAGAGGTTCCCATAACGATCTCTGAGATTCAGATAAGCAGATCAGAGGGTATGACATGTGTGATCACCTGGCTGGACCCCACACTACTCGTACTTAGGACGGTCTCCAGATACCCCGACAGCAAGCGCTATCTTTGCATAAGCGAAAGAACATGTTCAGCATCAGCAATGGTGTGCCCATGCGATGTGTGTTTTGTTTTGTTTTGTTGAATGAGCGTGACCTTTTTTGATGCATTGGAGTGTTCAAGAAAAGGAACGCGGGCGTTTGAATTTGCATCCGTGGACACTCTGGTCGACCGTGGACATCCCAACAAGTTCGGGGAGGGCATCCTGTTTTGGTTGAAACTCCTGACCAGCTCCACCCAGGCACTGGGTGGTTGAAAAACACCGCCCTTTTCCATGCCACGGTCACCATCCGGTCACCACCCAGATCACCACCCAGAAGTGGGTGGTGCTCCCTGGGCTTCCAGGACCTGTTGCTGTTGTAGTTGGAAATGCTTTAAGTATAACAATGGTTGCTTGGTACGGTAGTACGGCTCTTTTCTTTTGCGAACGGAAACCTATATATATATATAGGTATTTGGTATGTTCTGTTTGTTTTCTTCTACTCCCCGTTCGCCCGTTCCCCTCTCGGAACGCCACGAAACCGGTGTCGCACCGTGTCGCACCGGCGACCCGGCCAGCACCGGTTCGTCACGCGGTGAGCAGTGGCCCCCCCCCAAGAAAGGCCACAACCTGCGCACCGTGCACCGTGCACCGTGCACCATCACTCGTGAAAACCGCTCTCCCTCAAAACCGCTCTTCCTCGTGAAGAAGAAAACACGGTCGAAGCAAAAAAAACCGTCAGCTCAGCTCGGCTTCAAAACTCCGCTGGTGAGGTAAGAGAAATCTCAGACCGGGCTACCCCTGGATTGACCCACCCCTGGATGGACCACTACCCGGACCTCACCTGGACCGATCTCTACACGAAAAGCCGGTGAAGGTGATGCTTTGGCTCTTCACCTTGATGACTCCTATGGTCATCAACGGCATCGTCTTCGAACAGTTCTCCAGGAGCGAAGGGGAAGACATCCCTGGACCGAACGGGCACGCACGAAACTCGGCACCGGAGACGCGTTTCCCAAAGAGGAGGACAACGGCCCAGACACTGGGGGGCTTCGTTTCGTTTGGGGTTTCCAGTGGGCCTTGGTGTTGGGTGTTGTTCCAGTGATTCACTCCGTGGGGACCGGAGATCGGGAAGGAACGACGAAAGAGATGAGACGGAGAAGCGAAGAGACGCAGCTGAACGCGTCGAAAGCGCCGGGAAGGATCGACTCAGGCCGAGGGGCCAGGGGGGAGTATCTTCAAGTTGGCTACAGACGAATGTACCACGTTGTACCATGTACCCGGACCAGGTCCAAGTCTGACCCGTGTAAATTCCAAGCCTGGTCCTGAAGACCTCCAACTGAGTAGTAACAACTGTAAAGTCATGTAAAATCCATTTGTAAAACCAGGTCTTTCACCGTAAATCCTGTAAACCAGTTGTTCGTATGACCAACTGGTTTACATGAGGTCTTTCACCTGGAGGGTGTAGGTGAGAGGTCCTGCCACATCCCGGAACAAAGCGAGGTCGTTCAGCGACTCGCGGTGTAGCCCCCTTCTCACCTCTTTTGCTGTTTGCTCCTGGTTATTTTGGAGCAAAAGGACTGCTTCTTATTGGACTGAGGATAGTTTTGCTCCTTATTGGACTGAGGATAGTTTTGTATATAGTTTTGTTTCATGCCTCAGTCCAATTGCCCTCATTTAAATTTAACCTCAATCCAACAGCCATCACCACTGCCCATAAACCATCACCAGGTTGTTGCATACCGTACTGCGTGTAGTTCTGCAAGGACATAGTTTTGCATCTCAAGAGCTCACACCCCCCCAAGGGCGATGTTGTCATTCATGAAATACACCAAAAATAGGGTGCAGCATATGTTCATTCCCTTCAAAAGCCCTTGTTGGTGAATTCAATATATGTCTGGCTTTTCTTGTTATTTCCGGTTTTTGTCCCAGGTATTTCTGCCTTTTTCCTTCTCGTATGTTGTGACAGATGTTTGTTCAACTTTTGAGTGGCTTTAAGTGTTTGGCTCTGTGTTTGTTCCTTCCGCAAGGTAGGACCGTCCAAAGCAAAGAAACACGCGCACACGACAGTAGCTTGCCAGATTGTGGAAGCAGTGCAGTGTCGTGTGTTTATCTGCAGTGGACCGTTCCAGTGCACAAGATGTGCGCTTGGGAAGAGCCGCTCTTTCCGGGAAAAAACAGATGCCAGGAGTCACAAAGGGGTGGTGTTTAGTCCCATCCAGTGAGTGGATAATGGGCACCCCTATCCTCCAAGTTCGGCACCCCTTTGTGACTGCTGGTGTGTTTTGCCGAAAGTCTATATAGCTAGGATATATGACAAGTTGTGTCCTGCTTTTGAACAACGAAAAAAGCGCCCAAACAGTATCAGGTTTCCGCTCAGTACGGCCAAGTCCTGTCTCATGTTCAATAGGTTTTCACAACACAACTTGCTGTTTGCACCCAGGTGGTTCTTTTTGCATCTCACGCCAGTTTGTCAGCTCGCCAGATGAGTCCACAGGAGCTTTGGCACCTTTTGCGTGGTGATGGTGTACCACGCCGTGAAGAACACCGGCGACGTCTTGGAGGAGTTGAGCAGTAGGCTGTATAGGTAATATACCTTGATGTGGTGGCTGTTGACATGGTCCTACAATGTCCTACAGACCCAGACATGTTTTGATAGGACATATTTTTGGAGGTTGAGAGGCTGATTTTGTCAAATTCCAACCTTCGCGGCTTCCTTCGGGGTTTCCTCGCGTCTTCTTCTTCAGGATCCATACCTCCCCTACGACCCGAATGACGCTTGGCGAAGCGAGTGAAGAAAACGAACAAAACGAACACAGGCTGGTCACCTAGCATCCCGGCTGCGTTACCTTTTCTCTCCTGAAACCGGTGGAGAAAAAGATGGGCACACCAAACGCCGCCAGTGGAAAGGCCGCCAGACATGTGGATTCCCTGCTGCTAGGGAGCCAAATACCTTCTCAGAAGGTACCTGGAGTCTCAAAGTAGCTCTGAAAATCTGTACAAGTACCTGTTTTCATGGGGGCATGTCCCATTTTCAAAGTTACGAAATGGAGGGTCTAGGTATTTGGACCCTCCTGGCGCCTACATGAAGGCAATCGAACACATCACCCTACCGCTAATGACATGTCCCTTCCTGGGACTTCTATGTCCCGGTTCCCTTCCGAGGGTGGATGGGTCGCCCCGGATCCACAGCTGCACTGCACTGTGGTTCCCTGGACCCGGACGTCCAATGACCGGGGTCCGAAACAGTTTTGGACCCGTTTTGAGCCTCGTTTTGAGCCCAATGACAATTTCGGACACCAGGCATGCAATGAATTACACATGTTCTGAGGTAGTCAGGGAGGGCCCAAGTTTCAATCGTTTAAAACATTGTTTATATTTATAATTAATTCATTTTTGTGTGTGTTTGTTTGTGCGCTGGGGGGTGCATGAGGATATCATTTGACCCATACCCGCGGAAACAACATATACCGTAAATAATCGTAAATCAACAGCTACCCAGTCTTCCGAGGTACGAACGGAGGGTCCAGTGAACTGGGTGTTTTCCACCCGCTTTTTCCAACCGAATCACTCATGGTTTTTTCGCGACCAGCCAGGCTGACCCACGACCCCCCGCGTCTTCCTCGGGTGTTAACGATCGAACGCGAGGATCGACGTTCGATCCCTTTCGACCTTCGATCCGCCGAGGATCTTCCCTTGGTCTCGCTCCAAGTGTCGCTGAACACCCGGTGCGCGCGCGGGGTGGGAACCGCGACGGAGGGGAGCCGTGGCGGAGGAGCTGAAGCTTGAGCTGGCGGCGACATGGGAGATGTGCTTGTTAAAGTACATTCCAACTAAGGGTTCTTTAGACTTTAGACATAGAAAAGTCGCTGCACCAAGGATTTAGTGGGCTTTCTCCATCACTTCCCAGGAATATGTCGCTTGACAAGCCAGTCCCTTTCCATCAAATATCATCAAATGATTAAACCTGTCCGATCAAAGATGTCCTTTCTTTCACTCGCCTGGGCAGGTTGTTGGCTTTTGGAGTGATACCAACGGAAGAGCCTGAAGAAGAAGGCATTGTGATTGGGCTGCTGCAAGAGGAGAGGGTCATCTAGCTCAATGTGGGTATGGGTTGGTATGGGTATGCGTTCTTGTTCAATCAACTTGTGTTTTGCAGGGGAAGGATTGGCCCACAGCTGTGTGATGCCATAGGTAGCTTTAGGCCTACTTTCACCTTTTCACTGTTCTGCAGGGGGGCACCGCATTTACTAGCATTTACTCACACATATCCTTTTGAGCCTCCGTTGTCCCCTCGAAGAGGGGTTGGTTGTATGAAGTTCCTGTAAGCTGGGATGTTGTTTGCCAGGAGTTCCAAATGAGGTGGTTAATATAATGTCCGTGCACTTGGGGTTGACAGACACCCGTTTTTAACTCCGCTGTTTCAAGTTTCAGCAACATGCCAGGCAGCCAGCTTGAGCGTTGCTTATTGTTGTTTTCCCTTGAAACATGTTGTGTTAAACAGACCGTTGCTAGTCAATGCTGTCGACTCCACCCCCCGGCCACCGGACGAGTGGAACAATCGTTTGGACTAGCGGTATACGGTATATGCATGTATATACACATATCTAAGACCCAACGAGAAGTAATGAAAAGTGAAACTCCCTGTCAACAGGTCTTGGACAGCGAGCAATGGTCTATTTGGGGACCCCCCCCAACAAAAAGAAACGAACAACACACAACAACCATACACCCTCCAACAGGCGCCTGTTGGCGGCCTCTCTTGGAGGGTTGTTGGGTGGCTCACTCCCTGTGTTTCTGTCCCGGTGGTTTTCACCGGGGTCGCAGCCGCCTTGGCATCATTGAGCATCATATGAGCAAAATCGGGTGGTATGAGCATGCCATCTCATGCGAAAATTGTAGTCACAGGGTGGTGGGAGATTGGAAGCCTGCATCAAACCTGCATCGCCAGGGCCGATCCATTCTCTAGGCAAGGTCCGAAACAGCTAAGTATTACCAGAGTTCGTCGGGCGCTCATATGGGCATGTAATGAAGTAAGGGAGACCCCCTGGCCCAATGGGGGAGACCCCCTGGCCCTGGCTGGGTTCGAACTGGTCTACAGTGTACTGTATGTTCTGAATTCTTCCAGGGGTCGAACTGGGAGGTCTCCCTACGATACTTAATGACACATCCATATTCTGAAGGTCCGCCTTGTACGAGGGAGATCTTTTTTGTTCTTGTCTCACAGAACCGAAGATCTTGATTAGGGTGAATGTACCTAGGACCTAGGGGCACCTTGAGTGAGTAAGAACAAGAAACACCTGCCACCACCCTCCAACAGGTCACCACCTGCGACTGTGAAGTGTGCAAAAGCCACCAGAAGAGACCTGTAGAGTCGGGTGCTGGTATAGCCTATCAACTGGTTCAAACCTCCCCCTCTTCTGATCTCCACCTGCCAGGCGAACATCCACAGAAGGTCGCGGAGAAGGTCGAGGGATGTCGGCGATGTCGGGTAGAAACGGAGCTAGAAACGGAGTCAGTTTGGAACCATCGCGGTCACCTAATATACAGTAGGTTCTTTCCAGGATTCCAAGCACCATTGATTCAATGGTCTGAAGCCCGAAACACCAGGTGCTTTACTGTAAGGATTTTACACTACGAAACCTGGTCAACCGTTTAGAATTTAGTCTTGAAAGGCTAGGCTCTCGATCGATCAACCTCCAGCTACCTGAGGTGAACATCAGAGAACATTGGGACTGGGTGACTGGGTCACTCCCTACATTCAAGCCGAAACCAAGACTTGCTGTGACCTATATAATCCTATATATTATATAAAACTGAGTGTTCTTAATTTGATCTCCAATCTCTGAGTAGTGTATATGAATACTGGTTGTCGGCAGGGTTTTTGTTTGCTCCACCTGATGGCCATGTTGGTCACGTGCTGGCTGCATTCATTGACCGGAAAGACGACCCTGCTGGAGTACCAGAGAGCAAGGAACTGATACATGCGTCCTGGTGTACAGAAGGAGTCGCACATGAATGATGTGTTTATACATACTAGGCACTAGCCAGCAAATATACAGCTAGGAGTCCGTTTTTTGTTGGGGAAGATGTTCTTGACCACATTTGCACTTGTTGACAACGCATACCATAGCAGGATCCAACCCAAGTCCTTTCCAGTCTCTACTCTCGATGGGGTTCATAGAGGTTCCATGTGTGACACTTGGAAGGATTGTCATGGACACCTGCAACGTGGAACCTTAAGGATCTACTGGCACCCTCTGAGGTACGGTGATGTGTTCGACTCTCTTATGTAGGCGCGATGGTCGGGTCCAATCACCTTACCGAAAGAGGGTACAGTACGAGTGGATCCCTACAGGAAGATGACTTGGCTGCATCAGCCACCGGACCTTTGCATTCATTGCATGAGATTCCATGCATTCCGCAGCAAATGGCCCCGGGAGGGAGACCCCCTGGTGACACTGAACCGATCCCGCAATGCAAACCTCCGCGTTGCTGGGCCTAAGCCTTTGGTCTTTGAGCACGGGCTTTCTCTTAGATGTTGGAGCACCAAGGACAGGAACACAGTCGATGTACGACGCTTTGAAGCTACTGGGCTTCAACCCCTTGCACAGCGGCTACAAGTTAAAGTCACGCGATGCGGTCTGTGGGTACCTTTTTGGCGGAGAGCCACTGGATGATGCCTTGGCCGTGTTGGATGGGTATGATGCAGCCATGGACGAACCCTTCATGCTCATTTACGAGGAGGCCGGGGTATGTATGTGCATATATTCTACTCACCTTGCGTTTCTTTTCCGTTGAATCGCGAAGTACCTTCGGGCAACTTCGTGGCTTCATGTGGCTTCCGTCGAGCACCGCATCGAGCCCTGGAGTCCTCTTCCAGGGAAGGGCTGGGTCCTGTGTCGTGCAGAGCGGCATCTATAGCAGCAGATGGGATGAGTATGCAAGACAATTTGGTTCAATTACTTTGAACCAGCCCCCTAGCCTTCCAACCAATCCTTGTTTAGGATTCAAGCCATTTGCAAAACTGATGGGCCAGCAATGGCCAGCCTGCTGCCAGCCTGCTGCACGACTCCGAAAACGAAGTCGTTCGAGACCCGCCCGTTCAGCAGCATTGACCATGTACCGACCCGACCCTCCTTCCGAACTCAAAAACAGGAACCGATCGACCCGGTCATCGACGTGAAAAGTCTCTGTGGACTCAGCCGTCGGTGTGTGATGGGCAAGTTAACCATCATCTATGACAATATCAATAGGTAGTGGTGTATATCAGTATATCCACTATGGTTTTTAAGTGGGATATGCCCCACAGTGGTAGTCACCTTATCACATCTCCCACTAGGTAGTGGGAGATGCCCAACTCTTTGGAAGAGGTTGGGCTCCCCAAAGGACGACGATAAAACCCAATTCACTTTCATGTGTCACCGTGCATACCCGTGGGCGACCTCCACATGGTGTGTGTTGGGAAAGGGAGACCTCAGGTTGGAATAGGAAAGATGAACATCATTCGGAAATATACGCATGTATTAATATGCCAAAATCATCCAACATCCATAGGTTCGGTGTCTCCCTATTACGATACACAGATACACAGAAAGTGGAGGTCTTGGCCGCCATCCCGGACGCGAAGTTCTTGTTGACCATCTCAGATCCAGAAAGCTGGTATGAGAACTATAATGAATTGGTTGCTTGGCTTGATGCAGACTGTGGATGAACAGAACCCCTTCTTTAAAACCATTGAACACCCAAAATATACGCGGGGGGCTTGGCTTAATCATCGCTCAATTTGGAGGGATCCATTGCCACATGAGAAGGACTGGGTACGACTGGACCCTCCTGGACCTTGCATCAAAGTGTCGAACAGATCGCCTTCTCAGAAGGTATGCGGATCCGTAGGGAATGTAGACTGTTGATGAACAGAACCCTTTTAACACCCAATTGTGGGGGTTATCAATCAACAGTCTACATTATGGTAAGTTTGTATATGTTCTTGCTATAATTTCCGCATGTTTTCCATCTTGCTGAACGAAAGGTTAGACTGTATTGGGACACCGAGACTGATCTTGCAGAGGGAGAGCCTTCATACTATGCGACATGCCTGGCCATGTCTTCCTGGGGGGTGCAAGTTCTTCAGTTCTCCCTTCGAATCAGACAAGAAGACATGCTTGGACAACTATCAGCGCCACATTGACAGAGTCCAGCAAGTTATTCCCGCAGAGCAATTGCTGGTCTACAATTGGTCAGATGGATGGGCTCCTCTAGCGCACTTCTTGGGTGTGCCAATTCCTGAAGTGGAATTTCCACATACCGATGCAGCCATCAAAGCACTGACATATTTGAACAAAACCATGCATGATGACACTGCTGCCTTGTAGGCGGCATGTTCCTGAAGAATGTGTCATCCTAGTTCAAGGTCTCACTGGCAGCTCTGTGGAAAACATGCTCAGGTGGCACGGGCAAGCGATTGGTTCAGCAAATGTCATCGAACGAAAAAGATCCAAATGCACTCCCCAATGACGTTGACATATGAAGACATATGCGATCTGCATGGAGTGAACCCCTCGTTTGGTATTCTGTGCGCCATTATCCCCAGAGGCCATGCTATCCACTTCCACATGAACGCGAGGTGGAATGTAGACCTTCACAAGCGTGTTTTTTCCCTTTGCGGGTCTTCTTTGAGCAATGATACGAAATATACTGATGAATACTGTCAACGATCTCGTGGATCGTTTCATCCAACTCAGAACTTCCACTTCACCTCCGCCCCCACGGAAGAACGCGTTGGACTCGTTTCGGTTACGCGTTCGAACCGGTCACCCAGTGACGCGGTTCCGCGGTGACGCGACACTGGAGACCGACTGGGCCGGAACCCGAGACGGAAAGGGCATTGAAGGACCATGATCCTGGAGACGAGCAAGTGGGCATATGTAGCTCAAGACATGGGAATCGGTTTCCCCCTAGACCCCCCTAGCTAGACCGACCCGCTAGAATCAGAAAAGACCCAGTCTAACAATTGGTTGGCGGTCTCCCTCTTAAAATACACACCCATGATAAAGTTCTTCGGTCGAGGGAGCCACTAGATAAGGAACCAGGGTTTCTAGGCACATATTGAGGTTTTAGTCTTTGGATCTAGTGGTTACCAGCTAAAGTGGCCGCTTGATGCACTAGCTTTCTGATTTGGGAGATGCTACACCCTACCACCAAAACAGCTCCAGCTACAAAGCCAGCTATATCCGCTGAGTCAAGTCACGCTTGCAAAAGCACCCGAAAAGTCTTTGAAGCCTAGCATTCCAAGACTATGTGTAGAATGGTTAACCGGCTTTTGTAGTCTAAAATCCATATACTTGTAGTATTAAAACAATGATTGTTTGGTATTCAGAACCATTGAAAGAATGGTTGGCCAGGAATCCCAGGGTGCAAGTTTCGACTGGAAGTGCTGAAGGGTTTGGCTGGTTCTTACGGAAGAACGTCACAGACGTCACAGAATTCCTCCGTCCAGACCTGCGGAGGCAGATGTCATCCAGGCACGGGCGTCCCCCTTCGCGGCCGAAAGAACCACAACCAATCGGTGCTGTTGTGGTTTGCTTTCCTGTTTAAAGAATAGGTGCAAACCACAACAGCACCGATTGGTGTGTTTGTCAAACTCCCATTAAAAGGACCATTGGCCTTTTTTCACGACGCGAAACCGCCGTAGCAATCGAGATGTTGCGATCGCCACCGGTGGACCGGGGGCTAGAAAGTGCAGGAAGTTCCAAGTTGGATCAGGTCGGTACTGGAAGCCCAGACTTCACTGGTTGAATGAAGAACACTAAGCACTAGACTGGCTAGACCACCAACTCGACGGGTCGGTTCGCTCCGTCAGACATGGCATTCCCAGCCATCGGCCGAGTTTCGGGCGTCAACGACCTCCGAGGTGAGGCGAACCATGAGGCTCACCGCACAGGTTAGGTGCAGACCAGCAGGTATTACACTGGTTTCAGAGGTTTGATGGCACGTCTGGGCCCCCAAGTTGGATGGTTGGACCGCAGACACTTTTCGGGGCTTATAGTGTTGCAGGTATATGAAATATTATATTGATCACATCTAACGTTCATCGCTTCGGAGAGTGGTCGACGTTGGTGACTCCGCTCGGAACCAGCTCCCGACGCCCGAGGGTCGACCTCTTGCTTCGCGTGGACGGGAGGCTTTGCCGGCCGACGACCTGGCCGTGACCGCCGTCCAGTTCGAGGCGTGGCGGTGGGCAGATTGGTCGACCCTCCGGTCGCACTGCCCAGGCTTCGGGTAGCCCACCAGTGGCTTTTAACTGAACAACCACTGGTTTTACTAAAGAGTTTAGTTCTACACCACCTCAACCAGTTTAAACCGATTGGATTTGAGTTGTTTGTTTCTCTTTCCAAAACATCTGACGCTGGGTCATGTGGGTTGCTTTTCTCGGAGAATTCTGAGTCACACCCTGCAGTTGCACTGGACCGCCAAACGGGTGGAGCGTCCTGACCTGAACGTCATGACGTCGACGTCGATCGCATGCTTCGTTCGTTCGGCCCATCGGATAAATGATTCAATGGGACCCCCGCCATGAAATGGGACGACAGAATAGTTACCAAAATGGCCATGAATTATTCAGGAGATTTCAGGAGGTAAATGGATATGATATAACATTGATCACTTGATATAACAATTCCATAGATGGATGGTCTGGGAATGGCCAGGATGGGGAAGAGGTCACTTGCATCAACTGCGCAGTGAGGGGCCCCAGAGTCGGGACCGTGTGAGTTGAATTTGGGGAGTTGGTCGGTGAAGGTCGTGCAAGTCGACATGCCAGCCTCTTTACTTTTTCTACCGAACCGACCAGTGTGTCAGCGGTAGGGCTACAACACGTAGCTGGGACAGATGGAACAGGTGGAAAGGTTGGTTGATGTTGTTCTTTTCCAGGAAAACTTGAGGATGTCAACCCGCAGATAGGATCTAGAGCAACCCCAAATGAAAGGTTGGTACATGTACCCGCAGATGATACCATGATAGCAACCCCAAATTGGATCTAGAATGTGCATCGGCCCTTCTACGGGTTTGGAGACAAAGACGCAGCGTGTCTTTGGTGTGCGTGTCGTCCTGGTCTCCAGTGGTTGGATTGGATTGCCTTGCAGCTTGCTTCAAACATCATAGTAGGTTGGAGGCTATCGCTAGTAGGTTGGAGGCCACTAGTAGCAAATTGTATCTCACGACCGCCTATCCGCGTCGGGTGGGGCCGGTTGGGGTATCCACGCAAGCCATGTGGGTGCCAGGCATTCCTTTGGGTTTAAATTTGCAAGATATGCATGCATGGAGTGGCAGTGCCTTCTAAGTTGAAGTCAGGCAAGCTACTGCAAGATTGTTTTGAATATTTAAAAAAATTGACTGGCGTCAGCTGTTCATGTACTCAGTTCTCAGAGATTCTCCTCATTTCCATCTATGAAACGCCCCAATGACGCACATTTGCGCGTCGTCTTGGTGCAGGTCACATCACGTAGCAACACCAAAACCGAGTGAGGGACTCAAAGCCAGTCCCGGGAGAGCGGATGCTGCGGTCCGTCCGGCATTGTCCAGCTTCCAACATCGGCCTTAAAGGCCGTTACGTCATAAAGGATGTTGCAGAGCTTTCCGGAAGGTGCCCCAGATCGCCCTAGAAAACCAAGTGTTTTTCTTACAAGACTGGAAAAGTATCCATAGAATAGTATCCATTGGTTGGCTTGTTCCTTCTCTTTGAGACATGCCCACCAAGATTTCAAAAGGAGCAGGCACAGAGGAGCAAGTACCTGCTTAGGCGGCTGAACAATGACCGCTGTAGCAACTCCTCACGCATGCTGTACAGCTGAACCACGGTAACCTGCTTACTGCGGGCAGCCTCTTACTGCGACCCGGTTCCATCTACTGCGAATCGGAGGTTCCATGCCGAAGTCGCGTTCGCGAGCCAAGATCACCCCCAGAGGAAGAAGGTGATTGGCCAGTTCTTTACTCAGAAGATCCTCAGAAGGTACCGAATGACCCTCCAAACACACATCTGGAGTCTGGAAGTAGGACCCATGAAGATTTGGTGCTCCATAAGTTGGTGATGGATCGGAGCAAAGGATGATCTTCTTGCTGAAGATGCACCAGGACCCACAGTGTGTGGAGAATGGATTGAATGGGTACCTCAAACCACCAAGGGATGGTCATCCCAAATCTCATATGTTTTAGTTTTATATTATATAAATAGACCTTTCACTTTCAATCGAGGACTTCTGAGTGCATTTGTGGAAGGCTTGCATAACACCCAGTAGATTATGGTAAACAGGTGGTTTTCGTTATGGTTCAGATTGACAGACAGGCGACTAGCGATGCTTCTTAGAGCAACACACTGTTGAGTCGTCGCTTTGCCTTTGGCCAAGCCAGCGCAAGTGCGATCGACGCCGCTCGTTTGTGGGCCGCTTTGGCAGTAAAGGTCCGGCGGATTTGTCATGTGAAATGCGATCCATCCAAGACCATCCATGGGACTGGAATAGTCTTAATGTCGTCGTATAGTCATAATATTATACATTTGGTTCATTTGGTACATAAATGGGTAAATGTATGTGACGATTTTATACATGGATGTTCTGTGTATGAGAAAGTGCACAGGCAGATGCTGTAAATGCTGAGAGGTTGGACGTGCGTGCGTGAAATGTCTTAAGGCGGTTTGGAAAGTATACATTCACACAATTTCACATATTACCAGGACCTTCAAAGTGACCCTTTGATATCCCAGGATGAGGTCACTTAGTCCCTAAAGAGGTCACTTACAGACTCCAAAGAGGTCACTTTGAAGGTCCTAGTCCTAGTATATATATATATATATTCCAAGCAAGCCACCCTGGGCCCGACAGAAGAGACTTCACCGGCGAACTGAGAGTTGGCTTCTAACTCAAGATGGGTTTGTAGTATGTTGTACAGTAATAGTCATAGTTGTAATAGTGAGTCCCCCCAAACAATGAGTCCCTCTATATTCCCTGACCCCCTGCAACCACAACCGCCTCCTGATGATGGATGTGCAACCAGAGCGCTTATTGAACCAAACGCCGCGATCGATGGACCGTCAGTTGTTTGGCTGAGACATGCTGAGACTCTCGTTGGCGTCGAGAGGTCCTGGTCACCGAGATCAGCAGCAGCGCAGCGTTCGTGGTGTCAGGATGGGGCGGGAGATCTGCAGGGACCGGTGCGAGTTCCGTGCGTAGTGACGCGTTTGGGGTAGCTGAGGGTGGCGTAGGATCCAATGGATTTCTCGATTGGGGTGCCTTTCACGTCCCTTTTGGTTCCCTACTAGTCGCAGCGGTCAGGTGAGGGAGAGCAATGCACCAGTTGAGCTGAGGGTCTAACCACTAACCACCCACTGTGCACGAAGAAACATGTTGTATCCGGAATGGCACGGACTCCATGTTGCACAAGAAACCAGCCATACTGACCATCGCATAGATTCATTGGGTATATGTTGGCAGGTGTGGCTGACATGCAAGAAGACTGGATCTTCCAACTGTGCCCAATTTCAGCTGTGCATCGTCTATAAGATGAGCCCAGTTCGGGAAGGATTAGGTATGAAGCATCAAGAATTGACTTAGATCCAGGGTCGGATCGACTGTCGTGCTGATGTTTGTGCTGGTCGTCCAGCGGTTTCAGAGTAGATGGCACTGTCGTCCAGTCGACCCCTTTTTAAAGGGTCTTTAAAAGGCTTTTTGGGTGACCCCCTTAAAGAACTTCCTTTACTCCAACGTTGCAAACAAATTTATAGTCTTTGGACTTCCAGGGCCTACAAGTATTTTAGATGGGGCTCCATATAAACAACCTTTTGGCGATGGTTGTTTTTCTCCTTGCCATCCGCTAGATCAAAGTCATCCCATCCAAACTCCTGTGAGAGACACCCAGGCCACGCGTGCAGAAACCCTCGGGCTCAGCCCGGACCCCCTTACAGGAGCCACGTACGTTACCTTCGCAATGAAGGTATGACTGGACCCTGCAGGTATCTCCCTTCGAAAAGGATCCAAATGCGAGTGGCTAGTGGATCCATAAGGAGCAAGACCTACCAAGGAAAAGTGCATAAACCTTTAACCGTTTTGCGGGGAATTGGTTTTCCCCACTTCACTTGAACAGGTGGTTACTGTAATTATTATTGTCCAAGGAATATCAAAGAGTAGAAGAACGTCTCCCCTTTTTCTTCTTGAACTGCTCCAAACCCGTTCCGCTTCCAGATGCCCTGCATGGCTGGCTGGCCGAGAGCCGCCTACGAGCACTTCCAAAGCGAAGCATCGCAGGCCCAGCTGGCCTCCCAAGCGGGTGAGCGGTTCTAAATCAATCCAGAATCCTTGGAAGGATTGCGGTTTCTACGGATTGCCAGTTTTTTTTTTGACAACCCCCTGTCCCAAGGGGGTAGACTGATCCCCTTTCCTTCTTCAAAGGGGGTCGTTGCCCGCTACACATCCGCAAGCTGGCCTCGAACGACTTCCCAAACGCCCCTGAGATTCCCTCTTTGGCAAATTCTGGCTTCATGCAGCTGGAGTCATGTAGGTTTTGATATCATTCGTACCTACCTGGAGTCGACAGGTGAACGTACCACGGAAAATGGGTAGAAGCACTATACCGACTATACCCGTTTCTTGTTTGGGTCATGTCCCATTCTCTAAGGTACTTGAAGTTGAATCCTGGAGTCCTGGGAACCTTTGGGAGCCTTTGGGAGGTAGACGTTTGGAATGGCAAGCGAAGGCAGCTTCACGTGAAACTCTGGAGTTGAGTTTCCCACCTCTGGTGATAGTACTTTCTGCGTCTTTGAGGAAAAACATGACCCATACACTCCATGTATGCCATATATGCCTACATTGGGGTGGTTTTCGGGGTCAATGTAGGCATATATGGCATACATGGAGCGTTTGGGTGATAGCAAATGTATCTCTCTCCCACTATCCGTGAAACGTGGTATAAAACATATATCTTTTGAAGATGACACACCATTGCTTGGGGATGGTGCAAGCAGGTGCTTTGAGTCATGCCTTCAATTTCAAGCGCTTCAATCCTCCCAAACACTTGTAGTCCATAGGACTGGGATATTTGCCGATCAAATTGATTGTGAGATGTTCAATGTCAAGATGGGTCAATATAGGTCAATGTTCCAGTCTCATAAATGGTTGCGCACCTGTCACACTGTGTCTCTGAGGACTCTGTTCGTCTTGCCGGAAGCCTTTGCCGCAGGTGGGAATTCAGGGCCTTGGCGTTCAATTCGTTCGATGAGGTGCTAAAGACTGAACACGTTCCACACTCCCAGTTAGGATGGCCTTCCAGTCTGCCAGACTACTTCCTGGATGGATAGTTAGAGGATCTTAGAATCACCAGTGCCATGCCGGAGGAACTCCCATCCAGTGAGCAGCGAACTGGGACACGGAACTCCCCACCTCCACCAGGCGACTTCCGCAGTGATGGAGGGTCCACGTCCCATGTGACAGGTGTTTTGTTACCCAGACACGGCCTGTCTGGGACTGCCATATATGCCTACATTAGGGTGGTTTGGGGGGGTCAATGGGGCGGCATATACGGCAGTCCCATGGAGTGTTTGGGTTATATATGTGTTGTTCTAATTCACACGGGGAGCACCTTGCAAGGAGGCCTTCACCCGCGGTGCGCGAAGGAGATTGAGGCCAGGCGAGAAAGGAACCGATTCACCGCAGAACTGCACAGATGGAGAATGGATCCAGCATGGCAGCATGGATCCAGCATGGAGAGGACGATGTTTCTTCATGTGTTTTCAAATTTGTCAGTTGCCAAGAGGTACTGAGTCGCAGTCACGGTGACATGTTCTGCCTCACATCATCCTCAGCTCTAAGCTTTGGACGTATGGGTAGGTTGCAATGAATCCGAACCCCCCCAATCCCAAAAACTTCATGGGACTGGGACTGGAATATTTACACTAGTAACTCCTGGCCTTACTACTAGTAACAAGAAGCTACGAGTAGCAAGGACGCTGTTAGCTGGAGGCCATCGCTACTAGTAACAAGAAGCTAGTAACTACATTGGAGTGCTGAAACTTGGAGAACCCAAGCAATTGACCCTGCAGTGCTGGGGGTTCTATGTTTGTCAAAACCATCGAGCCAGGTCTGGAGCAGCTGCCGCCTGCGAGGCCCTGTTGGATGAGGTTCTTCTTTTGGTGCCAGGTCCTCAATCGTGGTCCCCAACTCGACAGAGACACTCCAGAAGAAACAGTTCGTGCAACATGTGTTTTTTCCTATTGATTTGCGTTAACCATTCATCTCTGATGCGCCTCAGGATCTCATGGCAGGCTTTCATCAAGGCATCACACATTCAGCCAAATTGCGTACCTCTTAGCCCAGAGTAGCCTAGAGTCTCAGTCTCGTGACTGTAATGAGCATTGTTTTTCTAAATACTATATATATAACTAGTTTGGGGAACCATAATGTCGTGCTGTCATTCTTTACAGCCCCTCTTACACTGTGGACAAGAGGATGGTAAGCGGCAAAGATGAACATAGTCGAACGAGGTACATTTTGGTTGACCCTACACCTTCATTTGGCTCGTTGAAATCTGCCCTTCATGATGTTGGCGCAATTGGTGTGCCCAGGAAGACACAATTAGCACATTGATATGCACATATACAAGCACTTAACGACAGAGGGAGGGACCCAAAAAGGATACCTCTACTTGGGTACTACCTCTACTTGCATGCCATGTGGGATTTCCACGAGGATTTGCTCAAGAGTTGACAGGCGTGCAACAAAGAAGCGAGGAGAGGGCGGAACAGATGGCAGGGCGTCTCTTGGATGTTGCTCGTCCCTTGTTGCCATGACTCCGGTGCATCAAGGAGAGGTAGCACACGTATCCTGCGAGACTTGGTGACTGGCAGTGGTTCGTTATATATGCCCTGACCTTTGAAGACCATCAAAAGAATGGTTGACCCGTTCTTGTGTAAAAAACCTACTTATAGTGAAGCAATGGTTGTTCGGGATTCAGGCTATTTAAATAAATGCTGGTTCAACTTCTAGGGTGGAGAACGACCCATTGTACGATAAAGCCACACAGTTCAGAGTCACAAGCCTTGGAGGAGACAAGGAGCTTTTGGCCTCGATTCTCTTGGAAGCTCGTGGCTGTCAGGAGCTGAATTTGGCTCGACCGAATTCTCTTGCTGCCCCAGGATGGTTCTTACGAAACATCGCCAAACAAGCATTGTTTCACTAAGGACTTTACGCTACAAGACCAATATACTGTCTGTTTTGGATGACTGGATAGTCTGGGATTCGTCTGAGTCGAAATCTTGGAGATAGTGAATCTGTTGGACATATTGCGGCCATGTCTTGAGTTTGGGGTCTTGGACGTCTCAGACAGACATGAGAACACGAGCAGACTCAGCTGTCCTGCCACAAGTTGAGAAGCTGAGTTTGCAACATGAGAAGATATGTGTGTGTTTTTCATGGGATGATTCATCCCAGAGACACTCACCTGGTTCTTCCGTTCATGACGGAACTTGATCCCCTGGTTTGAGGGTACACATATGGTACACATTTTTTGGGGGGCTCTAGAAGGTCAGTTTGGCCTCAAGCCGGCCTCAAACAAAGACCTGGAGGGTCAAAACCTTTCTGAGCCTTTTGGGCCGACTTACCTAGTTACCCTAGCTGTCGGCACTGGGCTTAAGTACCTAGCTAATACCCGTTGCTACCGGCTATCTAAAATGAGTGTGGTCGACACGGAAACCCATACTCATGTAGTTTAAGGGGAAATCTAAATTTGGTCTTATAAAATGGACGACACGGATGAACTCTTTGCACAGTCAAATTAGCCAGTCACGACAGAAAGTGGCTGTTTGTTTGCACTTTTTTTACATAACATGAGATGTACAGGTCTTTAAGTCAGATGTACAGGTCTTTAAGTCTGTCATTTTAGATGGTGAACCTCAGTAGTCGGTAGGTGTGATTCATTGGGTCCATCACATGTCCGGCTTCCCTCTTTGGGATGTTCGGTGTTGACTTTAAGCGGCGAGATGAAACCCGATGTCCATTGAAAACGATGGACCGGTTCCTGCTTGGTACAGGAAGAGAATGGGTTCAAGCCGGAACCGTATTTACAGAAGTTTCATGATAGGGTACTTGAAGTCAGGTCCAGGTACAAGCAGTTTGCTATAGATGCATGTGATCCTGAGTTGATTTCGCTCTCTATTTGTGTGTTTTACATAGCCCTCAGCTACCAGCACATCCCCCGCCTAGGCCCGCCATTTGCACGCTTGTGGGCGGCTCATTGGTGAGCGTCTATTTGCGTGTGAGCCCAAGAAGCCAAGTTTGTTCGGGTTTGAGTTGAATCACTGATGATCGCGATCACCGGTCTTGACTGAATAAATTAGATGGTAGGGGGTCAAGCACATAGCCGAGAGATGCCCAGACCACAAAGGTATATATACCCACACACTCCATGTATATATACCTACATTAGGGTGGTTTCAGGGGTCAATGTATTTTAACCCGCACCGAGTCGCCTCCGGACTTCATGGGTCGTTTGGACCTTCCATTCCCAGGACCTTCCATGCCATTGTCTTTGGCAATTGGGCATAGTGCTCAGTGGGTTTGAGGAAAAGGAAAGGGCTTAACTGCATTTATGTCTAGTCAAGATGGTATTCAAGTTTCTTGGAACAAGTACCTCAATGTTGCTTGACAAGACCCAGGTGAAGCGGTGAAGGTGGACGGACGGACGGGTTCCGACTTGTTTTGGCCGGACGGGCCTTTGATCACTGAAAGGAAGTTTCTTCATTGCAAGGCTCAGATAGGCTCGGGTCGGCCTCCGGAAATGACCTACTTCTGAATCAGGGACAACGACCGCGGCGGAACACCGACCGGTGCGAAGGTCGGTACGCAAACGTCGCTGGATCACCCGGTGTTCCATCCCACCAGGGGTTAGTCCAGCACCAGGATCGTGTGGGCGAAGGGTTCCAGGAGGTTCCAGGTCCTGTTCTGGCGATTTTTTCGATCTACAGCATGTATTTGGGTGTTATTCCAGGTCCTTTCGATGACCAGCTATACAGTCTATATATGTCTATATAGTCTATGGATGTCTATGGTGTTATAGAATACTACTGTATATAGTAATATATAGCACAATCTCTTATATGTCATGAACACTCATGCTGTAATCGACCTTCCAACTTCCAACGTGGCCAGTTCGGTGCCCAGAAATCACCGAATGTGCCATGTCGATGCCTTTTTCGAGTCCAAACAAAAACGATCCGTCTGGGATCGCCGTTTGGAATCGCCCACATCATTCGATCCCAGACGGAGGTCGATGTTGGCGGCTGTCCCGACCTGTGTTTTTTGCAGAACGGGGGGAGGGGGTCCCTTCCCCCCCGACGGAGCCGTTTTTTTTTGGGAGAATGGTCTCCCTTTGAGAAAAGAGAGCTGAGAGAGTTGTCTCATGCACCTTGCTTAAAATAGATTGAGTTAGATTGACACACCCACACATGGTTTTGGCTGTTTTTTGGGGGGGTCGAAAGAACAAAGAGAACACATCCCAACTCAACACAGGACTGGCCTTTGGTGCGTTTCGTGCCTTGCAAAAAGGCAAACCGCCGTGTTCGGTTGGCCAACCACCGTGTTGTTTTCTATGTTTTTTCAGCTGTTCTTCTGGGTCTTGACCTACCTGCCCAGACGCGAACCAATGGACCCAAAAAACCTCAGGTCAGGGAAGGTCATGGGTCCGGACAGCTGCTTCCAACGGGTCACCTAATGGACAAGCCTGCACTACTTACAATGGGATAATGGATCTCCGCGGACCCACTGGATGGTCACAGGTAGGATGGTCCAGGGGTTCGGGTTGGACCATGGATTCAGTCGGATGCTTTCTTCTAGGTTCATCTTCCATGTTCCAGGGTAGGAGGGTCCAGGTATTGGGTGGTTTGTTTGGAACAAAGTGTTCTATATTTGGCCCAATCAACTAACTGGACGCCATATCCGGCATCGATATGTTCCAAGAGGGCAGATCCTTTATCAAAGGACTTGTGATACGGCTGGTTCGTAGAGGATACACATCATCGTGTCCTTGCACCACAAGCTGCATCAACCTAAATCCAAACTGTGGGCCTCGCCAGGCGTTTTGCCTGAAGAGCTGGCTTTTTGGATGCCAGAGCCCAAGACTGGATCCTCAGGGATATACTCGTTTTGACCAAGATCAGCCGTGCTTTTCTTTCGGTAAGGTATCAAAATCATGCTAACCAGGCCATCTAGAGAATCTAGAGGTAGGTGTTGGTGTTTGCGCGACTTTCAGGGACAAAGAAAATGCACCTGCAGAACATGCGATGAGATCAGAGACCCAATGAACAAATCTTGGCTCCAGTCTCAAGCATTCCGACATTGTTCAGCACTCGGGAGCCTATATACTGACCGAATGAAACAAGATTCAGCTGTCTCTAAAGTCCCTGGTTGACATGTTTCCAGGCATAATCCATTTCACCATGATACCATGGTGCAGCCCATTCATTGGCACCTTCTCATTCATTGCTAGGCCGAGTTGATGCGCTTTTGTGTTTGATCATGTTTGGATGGCACACTGGAATCAGATCACATATGGCATGCAATCATATGCAATCATATGCATCTCCTTTCACGCACACGCGTCGTGTGTGTCGTGCGCACACGCGGTCGACGTCGATGCTTGCGGGGGATGTTTATCCAGTGTATCCTGTTATAGAACCATTGACCGGAATGTCATTCTATCGGTATGCCATCTTAGATCTTAGTGTATCCTTTTAATAGTGTTTGCAAGTGTGCTTATACTATATGAACAGATGGATGGCCATGTTTTTTGTGTGTTTGTTTTTGGGGAACCGATGGGGGACTGGAGCTGGAAGAAATAGGTGATAGCCTCACATAAGCCATAAGCCTACAAATTGTCTAATAATGTTGGGTTTTTGATAATCAACTACCCATCTAGCAACAAGTGACAGAGAGAGAGAGAGTGAATAGAGACAGTTCGACCTAAAAGATCTTTGCAGGTCAGAGTTCCAAGGTTAAAGCGCATTCTCAGAAGAGGGATGTGGTGGTGGTGGTGGTGGTGGTGGTGGTGGTGGTGGTGGTGGTGGTGGGGTTAATGTAGCATAATGTATTAACTGAGTCTCATTCAACGCCAAGACAGGGAGGACCAACCATCAACAACATCAACGACCCTGCATCAAACATGAATACATGCAGTAAATTTATTTGTATTCCCTCCGATGTCCACCCCTATTGCTCCCTTTGCCTTAATAAATTTGGATTTTACACCAATGAAACAGGGTAATTTGTCTTACTCCCTAGGGATCCAAGTACCTTCTCAGAAGGTACTTGACACAGGGGTCACTTAAACTTCTAGATCTTGTTGCTTCCAAGAATATGAGACGACTTGAAAACCCTAAAGGTCCAGTTCGACCATATGTTGCCTCAGTGAAGCAAAGGACATTCCCTTCCAGGTCCTATTCAGACCATTCGTTTTATAGTCTTCGGATCCTCGCATCTCCAAGGGCTGGGTCTCGGCCGAGAGCCCGGGAACCTGAGGATGCTGGAACACGGGTCAACTGGCTGGACAACATTACACCACTTATGGAAGTGCTAGGTAATGCCTTCTTTCTTGTGAGTTTTCATGTAGAATACATGAACGACTTTGAAACATGAACAGCTGCCAAAGACGAGGTCCTCCATGTGAGATTCAAGAATTCAAGATGATCAAAAAGCACGTTTGTCAAAAGAATGTGGACTTGGAAGCCCCCTTGATTTGGGGCTTGGAAAGAACAAGGAGGTCTAACATCAGGGTGCCCAAATCATCCACCTTCTTCCCCTTGATTCTGGTTCGCCTCCGTTCCCTGCCATTGGCGACCGTTCGTGTTGGCGACCGTTCGTCTCATCCTTTTGGACGACTCGGACCCACCCTTTCGGTACGGTCATCGCGACCGGAGGCCCTCCTTGGAGACCAAAGCGCTGCGCTTGGTGGGAGAAGGACCCGCGGAGTCGCTCCCACGGAGTCGGACCGTTCATTCACCCTCCGTTGGGGGGCACACCGAATCCTCGGGGTGTTATACGGTGGTCTTTGGACCCGATCCCTATGGTTTTGGAAGGGGGGAGGTGAGGGTCGGCCTGTGCACGGAGCATCTGGTCTGCCGGGCATGGAGCGAGGGGTATCTGCAGTTCTTGACGGGTGTGGTGGTGGAACTCGGAGCGACCGAGCCGGGACTTCCGAAACCGAAAGCCCCAATTGGCTTTGCAACAATCGATCCCACCTTGCGGCATGGGTTTGAAGCCCCATCCTGGCCACCCAGACGCGAAGTCTGGACCCGAATCCTTGGGATATGGTGCCGGACCTGAAACCTTGGGAGTTCTTGTCAATCATGTTTTTCATTGGACGAAAACCGTTTGATAACCATTTGATGGATCTATCATCATCTACGGTCAGGGTCGGAGGCTTGGACTGTTGAGCAATTTGGGTTTGCTGATCCCAGACACACTCCATGTTTGGACCCCTGAAAGCTCCCCAAAGTATGTCATAGATGAGGGTGTGGGTTTTGGTCTTTGTGGCGTTCTCACACGCCATGTGCTCATCATGTGCTCTAGGACCCTAGGATGCTCTAGTTTCCGATGTCATTCACCTACTTCATGCGACTGGCAGATTTACCATGATTTACTTATACTCCAGTATACATTTGGGCTGGTTGAAGCGGGTTCAATATGTTCCAGTCCTGCATGCGCCTTGTTTGGGTTTAAATACCTGGAGTTTCCTCAGCGTTCCTCAGTGCATTTCTTTTGCTAGTCCGCATCACGCTGCATCATCTTTGGAGTCACAGCCTCAAGTTAATATGTGAGTTTGCGGATGTGTCCCCTACTTTTTTGAGTTGTCTTTTTTGCCTGCCACGGGTGTTGATACACCATTTACGGGCGTTTATTGGTGAGCCACGGGCGTCTTTACCCGAATGTACGTTTTCAAACAGCTGATGTTTAATTGGTTCGGTTGCGGATGTGTGTGTGGTTCACAGACCTAAATAAATAGATGATAATAGAAGCATATTATAAAGCCATTAAGCTACCAACAACAAAATAATAGCCATGAGGGTTGTAGATATACAAACCCTGCTTGTCATCCTCAAATTGTTGTTGACAGTCAGCACCACTTACAGTTTGAGCGGTTATTGGATGGAACATACATAGTCAGGGGGATGTATATGTCGAATCACCCTTTGGGTGGTGCTGGTGTTCCAGCGCTACACCCGCATCATTTGAAGAGGCGTTTTCTGTAGACCATCGATGACCTCGCTGGTTCACGGGTTGAAATTCTGGCAGATATCTGAGTCTTCAAGCCACTTGGAGTCCGGAGACTCGAGTGAAAGATGGATGCTACCTTCAGTTCATAACCTGCTTGAACCTGCTTGAACCTTTCTTCGCGTTGGACATCCAGCAAGCCACTCCAACCATTTTTTGTTGCGGGTGTCACGAGATGTTTGGTACGTTTTGCAGACGTTTTGGTGGAAAGACGCCGCTGACCGTCTCAACGAGTTGAGGGAAGATCTTGAAATGCACCACGTCTTGGACCTTGGAATGTCTTCAGCTTCAGTCCTTGTAAAAAGCTGATGTTCCCCGACCATCCTCCAACAGGACTTCGACTTCTGGATTCTAGAGGGTGGTTGGGACTTAGCAGGGTCAAACCATTGCTGTTGGAGGATCACAATCCGCGTTCAAAAACACCCCCAAATTCTGCATGTAAACAACCCTAGATCTGAATCCTCTCAAGTTGGGGGCCTGGGTGGCCTGGACCCGAGAGGATCCACCGCGTGGTCTCGCTGCGTCGACGATGTGGGGGGACCGAAGGTCGGGCGAAGAGTTCGTGTCGCGGTGGGTCGGTTCAGTGGTTTGATTAGGCGTGGTGCTTTGGACCCAGAAATGGAGAAACTCAAGCTGCCAGCACCGTCCAACAAGGCCAGGCTGTGGGATATGAGGGTTGGGAAGGACCCTGTCGAAGCGGTCGAACCAGACAGGTGACCTGTAGAGTCGGGTCCTGGTATTGGATTCTCATCTACCTGGAGTCTCATACTTGACTTGTACGTACCTCGGAAAATTGATGTTTCTGGTGACAAGTACCTGTTGGTTTTTTCAGTGGGTCACATTCACGTCCCACTTTCGTTCGGTTCTTGTTGTCGGGTTCAGGAGCGGAGCCACCAATCGCCCTGGCTGGGTACACCGGTCGATTTCCCGAAGCGAACCCAGGGGGTTGAAAGGGGGTTTGTCTTCCTATTTGATCTACACACCCCAAATTAAATCCGTGGCATGGTGAGATATCGTGAGATCTGCTGGAGGCAGGGCATGGACAAAAAATAACACGGATCACTATATATATATATAACAACTAAATCCTTGGAGCGTACAATGCGGGGAGCCGGAAAGCAATTTGTGGGAAAGTTGATTTTTTGGGAGCATGGCACGTATATATTACCCAGACACTCCGTGCATGCCATATATGCCTACAGGTGGTTTGGGGGGGTCAATGTAGACATACATGGCATACATGGAGTGTCTGGGTTATGCTGGTAGGTGTCCGTGACTAGACGCATCAGGAATCGCCCCAAGAAGTCGCTCAGGGTACGTATAGCGGAAGTTCACCACATCTCAATGTCCATATCTCAGGAGACCAATCCCATACACTCCATGGAACTGGTATATATGCCGCCCCATTGACCCCCCCTGGCACCACCACCCCAATGTATGCATATATATATATATATGATTATATGATCATGAATAGAAGTCCCAGACAGGTCGCGTCTGGGAACCAGCCACACCCCGACGCTTCACCCATCGACACGTCACACGCCCTGAGGCATGGGTGCGGAGCTTCGCCCACCTGCGTCGTGGAGCCTTCACCACGGACGCTGCCGGCGAAGCGCGTCACCAGCGCTTCGCCCTGCCGTCGGCGCCGTGGAGCGGCCGGAGTTCCGCACCGAAGGTCGAGTCGGTGGTGCTTGTTTAACAAAAATATTGGAGTCATTCCGGAGATTTGAATGGGTGTTCGGCTTCGGTGGACAAATGTGTTGTGTTCTTTTTCGGTTCGGAGCCACAAGGCCAAGCCAACCCAAAAAACAAGATTGGGGTGGAGTTCTGTAGTTTTTTGTTGAGTTGGTGTTGACGCAAGTGTATGTATTGTTAGATTTCTGGCAGACAGACTCTTTTTTTTTTCAAACAGATTGGGTTGGCCGTTTGTTGGCTCTGTGTGTGTGTTTGTAAGCGGCACAATTAAGGTCATCAGACCAGTTACCCTTTTGTTTCATTTTGTGTCAACAGTTTGGTCGGAAAAAAGAAACACTGTATACTGGATCGATTGGATGATTGGATCAACATGATGTGCATTATTGGTTGGGCATGTCCCATGGAGGCCTTCGTTGAATCCAGCGTCACTTGAGGGCAACAAACAAGCCATTTGTTGTTCCATTTCAGGCAGATAGAAGTATTTGATAGTTTGTGTTTCCGTCCTATGTTCAGTCCTAGAGTATAAGAATAACTTAATACTTTTTAAAAAGGGACAGTTTGTATACGTGGCTCAGAAATGTTCCCTGCTTTTGCGAAAACCTCGGTGGTTCGGTGGTTCCGCAGCTGCAATATGTCCCAATTTGGTATGTACGGTATAGGTATAATATAGAAAAAACAAACAGTATTTATCAGATCAGCCCCGCTGCTACAGGGTATGATCAATGATCTTTTAGGGGCCCACGCCGCCCCAACAGGAGGTCCCTCCAAACCGGAGTGGTTCGAACCCCCCCCCCGCTCGGGTCTCCCCAGCTCTAGGGAAGGTCCCCAGTCTCCGGCACCAGGAGCAGCTCCAAAGGCCGACACGGGCTCCGGTGTTTCATCGGGTGGGTCACAAGTGCACGACTTTGTCACACGGATCCAATCGAAACCCCAACAAAAATTGAAGGAACAACAACTAGGAGCCCCTTTTTCAGGGGTGTCTATTGGTGGTAGGGCGGTTCCATTAACCACCCCTTGGGGTATCTAGGATGATAGAAATATTTGCATTTGTTCAAAGAGACTCGGAAAGGACTTTGGAAGATGTGTGGCCGCAAAAAAGAAAAACAGGCTTGTCTTCCCAGCTTCGACACTATGAGTCTGTATAAGTTCTTTGGGAGGATCATAGCCCTTTTCCAGACCAAAGAAACCTGAGAAGAGAACATGTCAGCAAGAATTCAATGGCTTTGCCTATTCTACTACACTGAAATGTATGCACGCAGAAAACCACGTTTCAACACCTACTTTCTTCTGATCTTTTAATCTTGCTAGGCCCACTGTTTTGCTCCATCTATATTATAGTCTCAGTTTGTATTTGGCGTGCTGGTAGCTGGTAGCAGTTCACCTCAGGATGAACCCCGGGTCTTTCTTTAGGTCCATCCACCAAGAAAGAGTGTGTCATCTTTCTTTCAGTGTCTCATCCCAGCCTAAGACCCCAATCATTGCGGCATGTTAAAACCATGAACCCATCATATTAACCCCTTAAGACCCCAATCATTGGGATCCCAGCCTAACACCCCAATCATCAGTGCCATCCACTCTCCCTAAAACCCCAAACCCTTTCGCTCACGTTCGCTCCTTGACACCAATGCTGTCTCATCCCACGGCAGGTGGTGGGACGCTGCGCTGAACGAGACCCATTGGCGACAGCCCATGCGCGGGAGACCCGAAACACCGGACAGTCCGAGAAGAGCCAGTTGAGGGTATTGAGGCCAGCTATATGTACCAAGACCATTTGGTCACCTGGCTGGACTACTCTCCACTACTTCGAAATCTCCATTTGACACCCATTGGATGGTCCGGGTATATATGTGTTGTGTTGTGTTGTGGGTTGTGTGTAGGCCCTTTTGGTCTTGTTTGGTTCTTTTTTTCAATTTGAGGGGGATGGAGAGGACGTATGAAGCTCCATCCAACGAAGCTTCTCATACGCTCCTAGGATATCATCAAGGACGCCTGATGACTTTCCTGCTGTGCTTACCACCTACTTCCTTCTGGGCCCCGTTGTTGCTAAAACAAATCGCTGGCCTTTGCATCGGTTATGCGCACTGCCTGCAGACACGTGCTCGTCGCTCGAGCTTTCGTCGATTTCACTGGGCTCATGCCTTTTCAACTTGAGGGCGTTCGAGATTCATGGTCAAACCGTCTTACATACTTCACCGTTGACCTTTGAAGTTTTTACCCACGTGGGCGTGCGGCATTCAATTCTGCGCGCAATATCCCAAGTGTGTCTCTCCTCGTGAGAGACCGGAGTGAGCCCGACGAAGGCCCTTTGGCTTGCTGAGCAAGGCAGAAGACTTGGACAGATTTTTGAGCAGGCTGAAGGCCAATAGTAGTCCGCAGCGGACCAGAGCAGCCCGCCATTTTGGCATGGCCAGAGCAGACCGTAGCAGTCGTAGTTCTCTCGGTCCGTTGGGACCAGCCCCAACCTCAGGTGCAGACACAGCACATACAAACTAGGCGAGGCTTACCATGGTTTACCTAGGTTTGCTTTAATGCGGTTTGTTTCATTTGTTTTCGGCCGTCTCATCTGGTTTTCCCTTCGTTTTTCCTCTTCACATCACATGTCACATACACCTTTTTCCTCTTTGGCTTCATGTCGTTTCTGCCTTCATGTCCGGTCACCTCGTTCCTTTCTTTTGCCCACGCACCTGCCTGGCCCTTAGCGTATACGTGCACGTCTACATGCAAACCAGGCTACAGGCCGCCCAGGTCTTGATCATGAGGTTTGGTTCAATGGTTGTCGCTCGAGTTTTCGTCGACAATTGGGCTTGTCCCTTTCAAAACTTGAGGATGTTCGAGGGTAATGGTCAGAACGGTCTTACATACTTCACCCATGACTTCTTAAGTTTTTACCTAGGTGGGTGTGCGGCATTCAATTCCGTACGCAGTATCCCGAGTGTGTGTGTCTGTGTGTGTGCGATTTGGAGTGCATCAAAACTCAAACACGCCAATTGGAAGAGGCTTGAATAATCTTGGATAGACAATAACATTTTTAGTGCTACTGGAACCGGATTTTCAATGTAGGACCCTTTTTTCCAGCCATTTGTGGTTTGCTTTTGCTCCTGCTTCCGTTTCTGCTTGTGCTCCTTCTTTTGATTTTGTTTTTGTTTATGCTTTGCTTTTGCTGCTTTGTCTTTGGTTTTTGCCTTTGCGTTTGCTATTGCTTTTGCCTGCTTTGAAACCAAAAGCACTGGAAGTAGAGTACAAGCATGAGTAATCAAAAATATTGATCTCAATCCTACAGGTCCACCCACCTGATGTTCCTCTCTCCCAATCCTTCAGTCTGCCTGCCGCCACAGCCACTTTATGTAGGCGCGACCCTGTTGGTGGCCATTGGAGCGTGGCTAGCCTGGGGCCTCAAGATTGCAGGGTTGGGAGGTGGAGCCCAGCAGCCCCAACCCAAAAAAAAACATGGCTAGTTGATTCCAGTTTTGCATATACTACATGTCTGATCTGGCGACCTGCGTCGCTTTCCAATGACGTTCGTCCAAAGGCCAGGTGTCTCACAAAGGGGGAAGACGCTTCAGGTAGACTACAACCTATTGACGATGGAGCTGACCTTCCAACTCATTTGCCAGAATATTGTCAGCGTCCCAGGAAAGTGCAAAGTTCGGGGTTCTTTGTGCCTTATTTCATTACAGCTGTCAACGAAGTGCTTGCAATTTTTGCAGCAATTGCGAATTACGTTGACAAGAGTTTTCAGACTTGTGAGATTGTACTGAACGACAAGAACAACGAGCCTGATGCCACTCAGACGGGGCAGCTATCAAAACTGCGCCTACGTCTACATGACAGCACCAAACATGGCTGAGCAGGCAGAATGACGACTGGCTACAGCGAGGACGCGTTCAACAACAGGGTTGTGGAAGTATCGGTCGCTTACGGCGGCTCCTAATCCGATTGGAGGCCCAGTGGACATTGCCACTGTGGCAACATGGTGGGAGGTTACAGCTGCAGTCCAGAGTATCAAGTATGTGGAGAACGCACTTCAACCTCTGCGCCACTTCTTCCATACTATACACAGGCAACTATCGAGAGATCTGGAGAGATCTGGACCCTTCACCGGCTTGGGAATGCCAAGGGCTCCTGGTGGAGGCAGATGGGGTGGCTGAGGTGAAGTGCTTCAAGCAGACCATGGCTGGAGATGGAGAGATGCCCCATTTTTGCATTGGAGCTTGACGGCCAAGCCAACGAACTCAAGGGAGTGTTGCCCACATATGTGCACGGGTGCCATGCAAGCTCCCAAAAGATTCGATCGCAAAGTTGTAGCCAGCCAGCAATAGTGTTTCAGCCGCGGCAGGCGTTTGCTAAGCATTCCCAGCAAGCGAGCAGGACAGCACGGGCAGCGCAAAGAGATCATTCTGGCATGGAGTTTTCAATTCTGAGACAGCCCCTTGTGAGACCCCTGGCCCTTGAACGAACGTCATTCGAAAGCAACGCAGGTCGCCAGGCTAGACATGTTTATGCAGCCTTCAACTGGCATCAACTGGCCATGTTTTTTTGGGGTTGGGGCTGCTGGGCTCCACCTCCAACCCTGCAGTCTTGAGGCCCCAGGCTGGCCACTCTCCAGTGGCCAGCAGCAAGGCCGTGCGTATGTGTGTTTTAGATTACCCACTTGCGTACTTGACTTCAAGTGTTTTTTGTTTTTCTGCTGTTAGAAGACCGATGCTCAACGTAGAAACCATGTCGACGTAACACGAAGAAACCATTGACGCTCTTGTCTACGGTGTGTGAGGAAAAGTGTGGTTGAGGTTCCTTTCTACGTTCAATGAAGAAAGTGTGTCCGTTTGGCTTTTGGGTCTTCGAGGAAAGTGTTTATGTTTGTTTAAGTCTAAAAGAGGTATCAGGTCTACTTGCAGGTTCAATTGCCATTCTCCGTTCTCCTGCTTTGCAGAGCTTGGCTTCAAACATTTTCAATAACCCAGACCGTATGTCTCCTAGACCCGGATGTCCAGCGAATCCCCTGGGATCGCGATCCGCATGTTGTGGAGGCTTCCCAATGGTCGCTTGTTGCCCCGTTCGGCCGCATGGTTTCGGGGCCCGGCAGTGGAGCGGAGAACGGGGAGATGGGAGGGGTAAGTCTTCAAGATCGGGAACAAGGGGTGATGTGGAAGTGTCGAAATGATCTGAAAGGCCGGAACCATGTCAGTTCCACACCTTCATGTTTGCGAGTTGTTCAAATTGTTACCAGTGTTTTCTCTATCCCAAACAACATCGCCCAAACTAATGGGAAGGGTTTTGAAGGTCCGGACCCCTGAAGGTGTAGGGCCCAACCTCTGCCGTGGAGGGTCCAAGGATTCTTGTATAGTTCATATATGTGTCAAAAGACCCAGACTAAGAGCCAAGAGCCGTTGACGCAACAAGTTGCTTGCAGCAGTCCCCTTAGGTGAGTGGATCAGCCAAGGTCAGATCCAATCCTCTACTTGTTGGGACTGGTCGAATAAACACTGGAAGTAGGAAGACTTGGGCTGCAAACCCTGTGTGGCACCATCCACCGAAGTCGTCAGGTCGTTAGGTCGCCCCGCCGCGCCATCGCCATCGCCGCTCCAACGGTCCCAGGTTCGTGCAGCCGGGATGCTCTTGTTCCTACGAGTACAACGGAACCGCATGGCACCTTGTTGGCCAAAACCGGCGGTGATGTTCTGGAGTTTCATTGGAGGTCAAGTGATGGACTTGTTGATGTTGTTTTGTTTTTGGTGTTTTAATGAATCTCTAAGACTCTCTATACTATACAATTTAAACAAAAACACACTTGGATTGCAAGATCTATTGTGTTGGAGCTTAACATACTCAGCAATTGATTGTATAAATGCATATTGTTTATTCATGTGTCTTGGAGACCCTAGAGATTGAGCCCTGATTATTTGGATGTTCATCTCGCAAAAATCCGTCTTGGACGTGGGAACACCGTAACCTCCCATGATCAGATTTCATGCAGTTAGGGGTCCACCAAATCGCGGTAGGCTGGGCGAGACTCGGCGAGACTGGGCGAGACCAAATCCGATGTCCACGAGAAAAATGATGAAAAAACACCGGTTGGTTGGTGTGCTTCTTGTTTGGCGTGAGGCTGTGCCCCATGACGAGAGAATTGTTCGATTGAGATCCGAAAAAAATCACAAAGTGCGGAGTTGGCATCTCACAAAAGGTCTGAACAACATCATCCTCATCATCGCCTTCATCATCCTCATCATCGCCTTCATCATCATCATCATCACCATCATCCTCATCACCATTATCCTCTAAGATGAACACGCTTCACACACCCTTCATGTAGATCTCTAAACATTGAAATCTGGCACCTTCATCATCCTCCAAAGTTACCCTCGGGTGGCTCAGTTGGCCTCGCTTTACTGGACCGACCGACCCAGTGCTGCGCCGACCAAGGCCGGCCGTGGAGGTACCCAAGTGGCTTCAGGAGGCTGGTGAGTTTGGGGGACGAAGTTGAGAAGTTCTTCCCGGATATATATATATATATATAGAATGATTTCTCTTGCTTGGTTTGTTCATTTTTTGTTCAAATCGTTCTTCCAAGTGGCTTGGGTATGCTTGGGGGGTGCGGGGGAAAGGCACGAAGCTGCTGAAACATATCGAAGATATCCTCCAGCAGCACCCAGGAGACATGTGGCTCGTAGGACACCCTGCATCCCATGTGTTTTCCATCCAATAGCCATTGGAACTGGGCGGTGCTTGTTTGAACGAGTAGAAGGAGTAAGACCTGCATTTTTCTTGAGTCCAAAGCAGCTGGTGACACCTCAGCTGGCAGCTTAATGGCAATCTCTGGCAATGATTCTGAAGAGGTATCCTCCATACATATTTATGCCAGCAAGACAAGGGTAAAAGGCAATACTCTACTGTTCTGAGTTCTGAGTTCATGTTTAATAATAGGTTGACGTGGAAAGAAAAGGGGTAGCCAGGCACCGTAGATCTGAGTCTAGACGAAGTTCCCGAGAAGATCTTACTGAAAAGCATCTTTGGACGAGAATCCGCAGGTGGAAGATGCTGTTTGGCATCTCCTCAGCGATGAAGGCCCCGTCTGCACCGGCTGAGCGCCACCGCACTGGACACACGGACGGACCGGACGGCCCGGACGACCGCGCCGAAGTGAGCTGGCTCACAGGTCCGAAGTGACCGAATTCCAAGGGTCGTTCGTATACTCCTTGAAATGGTCTCGAAATCGATGAGGGTCGAAATGCAGCATTTTGTTGCTATAACATCGATATGCCCAAGCCACCCCCATATTTCCAAGGGGGATGGTCTAGTTCATTGACGACTTTCTGAGCCGCATCCATTTGCATGTTGAGGCGGTCAACTAGTTCTTTCCCGCAGCCTTTTGAGCTCCATGTGGAGGATCAACATGTCATAAACGTTCTGTAAGAAAAAACACAGCGGCGTTGTTCGCCTCAAGATTACTCTCTCGTCACTGGGGTGGAGATGAACTGAGAAACACTTGACGATATGTTGCATTGTCTTGAAATACAGCCATACAGCCACAGAACATCACAGAACCCTTTTTTTCCTCCACAACCTCCCAAGCTTTCAAGCTTTCTTCACTCCCTCCACATGTCCTGAGTGTCCCAGGTAGGGCCCGGGGCTGTCCAGACCTCAGGCCTCGTGCGGCCCAACAGTTGCGTGGCCAACCTCTACGCGGACGGCTCGCAGTCCGTGGCAGCTCGACGTCGAACCCCGCGCGAGCGGGTTCCGGGGCGGGGCGGGAACCGGGCACAGCCGGATAGACCTGGTCGATGGTAGGCCACAGACTCTGCGTTGTTTTGGAGCACCAGAGACCGTTCAGACAGGTGGTTCTGCAAGGTTTGAGCCCTTCATGCCCATTCAGATTTTCACCAACTGCTCGAACACTATATATGTGATTCGTGGAGGGTTTGCATGTTCTTCCCTGGTTTGTGGGTCCAGGTACCTGTCGGTCTTCGGATCGTTCCTATTCAGGGCCTTCTTCTATTCAGGAACGGTCTTGATTGTTTGGGCCTACAGGTCGGTCCCATCACACCCACTTCGATGTGTTGGCCGGAGAATGGACAGCGTACAGACAATGTGTCCAAAACCGGCGGGAAAAAGAGACCATCCATGTTAGACAAGACCGGACCAACATGGACCGGTCCGGTGCGGCGATGAGGATTGGCATGCTGACAATGAGCCACTTTTCCAAGGGCTGCTGGAGGATTGTTGGGCGCACCAAGTGATTTGGGCACGGGATTGGCACGGGATTGGCACACTGGGACTGATTTGTTTGGCGCACCAAGTGATGGCCACACCAGGATGGTATCCTTTTGGCTTATGCGAACAACATGGATCACATGGGATCTGTGGCTTCGGGTCACCACCTTAACCCTCCACAATCATGGGTTCACATGCGTAGTTCTTCATACTGGGAAGCAGAACCAGACCCCGAGTTGCTCGCAGCAGAAAGGTGATCGGACAAAACCTCTTGGGCATACCTTCGTGAACATGGTTTTGGAAAGTAATTTGATTCGATCTCTCTCTCTCTATAATCAATGAACCTTCAGCCAGTGGAAAAGCACCTCAAGCACTTTGGGATGATCACGGAATCTCACGGTGTTCAGAGTAACTTGTGATCCACTTGCCTGTTTGTCGCATTGGAAGGCAAACCTGTATGCTGAATACGCTGAATATAGCTCCAACATGGAAGAAAACGCGGTCAAATTCTGGTTGTTCAACCTGCAGTCATCATTCCCCATGATCTACGGCTCCGGGCTGGGTCGTTTCAGATCTCCTTCCAACGATCTACAGCTCCGGGCTGGGTCGTTTCAGATCTCCTTCCAACCATCTCAGGAACATCCAGTGGACACCAAAGATTCATTCCCATATAAGGGTCCAGGTACCTCCTTTTCGGATGGTCGAACGTTTCAGTGAGAACGTACGAAACCAGAGAATGGTCGAACTAGGACCATTTTTGGCATGGCATTCTAATCCTATGTGGGCCATCGCTTTGAAAGAGATGTTGCAGCAGTTCTTTGAAGACTGGTTAGACGTGCAGCTGTTAAAACTTGGTTCATCGTGATTCCCATGATATGCCACGATTGCCAGGGTCCCCCAGCCGCAGAATAAGCTCAGAGCACTCCAACGTCCAACCGATCTTTAAATCAGCTGGATGCTCCGATTTTCAACTCAGAGTTTCGGTGAAAAGACAGGGATCACTGGGATCACCCATACTTGATAGTCCCTTTCCACTGAACGAAGACGTCAGAGACACCATGCGTGCATGCTCCTTCATCATGCCTGCAAGCGCGACTCACAATGTCAATGTTCTTATTGGGATCCATCGGAATGTGGGTTGATGAATCCTTGCTATAAACGCCAAGAAGGTCTTAACCAAAAACAAACATGGAACCATTTGCACCACAAAAGGAACCATTTGTCGGGCAACAGCCTATGCAGACGCTGTTTCTGTCAGGCGTCAGACGCCAGTTCCACGACGCCCGAGGTCGGATCGTGAGCTTGTCCCTCGGCGAGGCGCTGCATGGAATAGAGAGACACCCAACGCCCCCTCTGGTTGGGGGTTGCACTATGAAAATCGATTGAACATACCAGCACCCTCCTGGCCAGGCTGTTAGTTGAGGGTTGTTGGACCCTAACAGGTCTCAATTGGTGACCTGTGGGAGGGTCCTGGTACGGTTTGGCTGATGATCAAAACCACCGGCACGGCACGCTATTCGTTTTCCAGAGACACCTGGGGTGGGAAAAGGAGGAGGGCTAGTTGTGAGTCACCGCCTGCTGCATGCTTCTCCCGTCCAGTATGTTTTTGCACCCATGTGTGCTTGAGCCAAAATGGTTTGGACATCCTAATAAGGAAAAAGGGATAGCCTGCAAAACCTGATTGGGGGGTTGTTTGGTGCACTAAACATTTGAACCGGTGGAAAAAGGCAACTCTTATTGTTATTTTCCAAGAATAGTGAGGAGTCAGACATGAGAAAGCAGCGAAGCAGATTTGGTCAAGATGCCCTATACTCTCGACTGGTGTTCGTAGTACATGTAGCTCGAATAGTCAAATATGAATAAAATATCTCAGCCTGCAGAGATCGATTGTGTATGGGCAGGTTCTGGTAAACCGTGTTTGTTCATATAATATATATATATATAGACCAACAAACATGAGGTGGGAAACACCGACTTTGGATGTGATGGGACTATGAACAGATTGAGTCTCCCTACATCATCTAGAGTGGACGTGAAACAGGTGTTCCCTCTCGGGCTCCCACCACCCACATCCGGTCGTTGGACTCCCGAAACCAACCACCGGATGTGGGATCCCTTGATCAACCGGACGTTGATGTTCTGTTCAATGTCCCAAAGGGGGCAAAGATCTGCAGCTGCACATGCAGCACGCTTGGACGAACGGTGAGCTTCCATATGACGAAACAGGAAGTGCATGCATTCACGGAAGCTGCATGTCAGGTCATGGAACAGATCTTCCCGGCTCCAGCTGGGTGATGATAGACCCAGAATCGACAGCATTCGAAGGACCACCTTTGATATAGATTCAATGATTCAATCATGTGGAGTGCTGTCTGTCCCATGTTGAAGGCTTCATTTGCCACCTTGCAAACTGGTGCTGTGTGAAAGAATCATGGAATTTGATCCTTGCCTCCACTTATCACTTTTAGAGCCTTTGCATCCAGCCCTCAGTCCCTCCGCTCGCACCGAAGCCAGTGGTGTCCACTTTCCTACCCAGGAGGTGGACAGCCATTAAAATCATTATATTTTATGGTAGAAAGGGGACACCGTCACTCAAATCGGTGGCAAAAACCGCTTCACCGCGCTAGGTACCTAGGGTTTGGTTTCGGACCAAAACGGCTCCGGAGTCGGAGCGTCTCGGTCTGTGACAACACTCCGATGGTTTCTTCCGAAGTGAAGTACAAGAGGAAAGGATGGATCACCAAAGACCATGGCGATCCACTCTGATCCTAAGAGATCTACGAATCCACACCTCTCAGGTTCGACCACCTTCGACTATAGGTGTTTGTCCAATGACCGAAAAGGGGATATGTGGATCCGTAGGGCATGTTACAGTGGTTTCTGAGTAGATGGCAGAATCCTATAAAAGACATCTTGGGGTGTCAGTACCATCTCTGAAACCACTGTTTTCAGGATGGTCTTTCGGTGATCCGATGTCAGGAATTCCCCTGAGCATGCAAGGTGAATGAGTCGTCTTTGGACTTCTACAGCCAGAAACCACTGTAAGAATTCCCTATCTTCGTTGCTCCGCTTCGCCGAACTCGCCAGACCCGCCGCTTCGACTTGCGGCGGCGACGCGGAAGGGGCACGGGCGCTCGGCACGGAGGCGGCGTTCGAGGACCACGGGGGAGAGGACGAAGAGGAGTTCAGGGCACTTTGAGAAGTTTTGGGTGAATTGGATGGACACCTTCGGAGACTTTCATCTACGAGTGGAAACCGTGCGTTGTTGGCGTTTTTCCTACCCCAACTGGGTGCTGGGAGCAATTGCTGTTGGATGTGGAAAGGTGTTTGTTAGCGGTTCGTTGGAGGTTCCTTGGGCATTTTTGTGACATGGATCATCATGTACAACAAAAACAGTGGTAACAGTGTACCTTGCAAGTGACTTTGGGGCTCATTGGCTCCAGATGTTTGGATGATCTTTAGTTTCATGCAAGCAGCAAACCCTATAGCCACGCTATAGTCCTACAAATGAGGATTCCCTTGTCTTCTCTTCTTCAGTAATCAAATTTTTCTGCATAATCCAGCTGAGGCAATCCATATCAGCACGTGGATCGACTATCCATTGATTTACACAATGGAGACCTTATCACCATGGAGGCAGGACTGCCGAGAGTTTGACATCATTGTCGACTTAGCTGTCAAATGAGCCCGGTCTGGTTGTTGCACATCCTGTATTCAACTGTTTGCATCTACTCCGAACTTCAAACAGTTTGACTTGATGGATGGTTACTATTTACATATGTATATATATACATTATACTATACATTATGTAATAACTATATGTATATATATGTATACCAGGACCTTCCAAGAGGTGTCTATAAATAGCCTCTTAGTGGTTAAGGGGTGTCCAAAAACCACCTGTTGGAAGGTCCTGGTATATATCGACTGATTGATGGCATGTCCTAATTATGAAAGACCTGCTCTTGGTCAAACAACATGCTGAAACACAGCGGGAGTGTCCTTCACAACACAGCGGGAGTGTTCCAGCACGTTTGAATTGTGTGCTAACAGCAGCTCCCGATTCCAAAACCAGTGTGCTGTCCCTCCGTGGCTTTGGGTGTTTCAACATGAACCTAGAACACCTGTCGGTTTGTCGTAGGAACGAAGCACGACCAATTCATTGGTTGGGGGCACAAGAGGTAGCTGTGCAGCAACTTAAACTTGGGAACAGTCAGCATCTTGGGGAAACAGATGTGTACAGCACCTTGTGTTAAGTTATGGGCCTAAAAAAGTGAGGGGTGGTTATCCCTTTTCGATCCGTCTCGTTTTTTTTGAAATCCTGCAGCGCTGGCGCCAGGGGTGTTTTCAGAAGCACTGGTACCACCGTGTTCCCAAAGCCGCCGGGGTGACGAGGCGAGGTCGAGCCAGCAGACCGCGGCGACAAAATGGCAGTTCCTGGTGAAAAGAGGAAGATGTTCCCAAGAAAGCAACTTGAACATCCTACAGTAGAACATCCTAGAACTAGGATGATGAATAGTAGGCCGATGGTTGTTGCAGGTAAGCAAGTGCATGCTACATGCCCGCCTTATGTTTTGCACCTAGAACCTCAGTGACCTTTAAATATGGTATCTCCCCAGCAAAAAGCATGCACATGGGCTCTAGCTTATGTACAATGTAGGTTGCTTGATCGACTTTTCGTTCATTATACAATGTTTATCCATTTTTGGAAAGGGACAACAATACATTACGCCACCCAAAGTTTTGGCATGCCAGAACGTTGATTCTCTGAAAATTACCAGTTTATTATCTAGAAGAGATTTCTAGACCACAAACACGCATGGTTTTCCACACAAAAGCTTGTATATAACTAATGTAGAGTTTAAAGTGAAACACATCAACAACAACAAGTCTTATTTTTGGACGGGCCCTCGATCTGAAGTTCAGACTTCATGTCCTCCACAGCTAGCAGTCAAAGATACTCAAAGGCTCCATGTAGCTAAAGATGCTTTAATTGCAACTGTTTGCAACATACTGTTTGCAACATACATGTCAGTTGTTAATGAAGGGTCCTATTCACATCTCTTCACCTGATATTCACAGATCCTGGCTCCCACTCTCGATGTCTCGCGCCCGGCACCGGATCCACTCGAGGCCTCGCATCAACTTGACGTGGCGGAGCATCACTCGCCACGAGGCACAGCACGATGAGACACGGAGATGAGACGTGTCGGCGGTCAGAAGCCCAGACATTGGGTTCTGTTTGTTCCCCACCCGTCAGGTGAGGGGTTGTTAAATTTTATGTCAGCTGCCGTGCTTAACCTTCTCTCCTCTCCTAGACATGTTTTGCTTTTTGTTAGTGGATTGAGAGTAGATGGCACAAGGGCCCCCAAGTTACATGGTTTATATAAATAAACAATATCTGGACACCATAATCTGATTATTGGGACATGTAGGGGTTGGTGCTATTTACTCTGAAACCACTGTTCTCTTTTTTTGTAGTAAATTGAGATCCCCAAGTTGGGTGGTTTATACCTGGACATCCATTTGATTAGGAGATTTGATGACATGTGCATGAGCATGTGCCATAAACTCTGAAACCACTGTAATAGGGGGGACCTTCCTTTGTTTGTGCTTGTCCTGCAGGTCGAAGTGGAGGGGTTCTTGCTATTATGAATACCCACTCAATATAGGGTAGGAGAGCTGCATGGTCTAGGTATAGTATGGCCCTGGTACAGACCGAGCACCGGTTCGCTCCCCGTCCTGAAACGGCTAGATTCGCTGAAACGGGTCGACCATGAGTGATCATGTGGGGCACCTACCAGGGTTTTGGAATTTCTACTTGAAAACGTTGGTGGTCCAAGACCACGGAAAGCTCGCAAAGAAAGAATATATGTTCTGCTTGAAATGATTGATCCCACTGAAAATCTAGGATTGTTCAAGTGAGTTGAAGCCACCAACCAGAATATGTAGGGTTTCTTCCGCAGAAAGCCCACAATTCTGCGCGTTTGCGGAGGCGACCTGCCCGTATTCTACGGCGCATCTTCTGCAAAAAATGGCCCACTTTGCATGCTGTCGACCTGGGCGAAACATCCCAACTGATTGGCGGGATTTTCAAGAGCACTCCTTCGAGAAGTTCCTTCGCACCATGCAAGGCAGATGAAATTGATGGGTTGACCCGAACTCAGCGAAATGTGAGGAAGAACCATGAGGAAGAAAGCAGAATTTGGGTGCAAATGCGGCATTTCGAGACACACCCATATGGGAAGTGCAACTTTCAGGATAGCAACTATTCGTGGCAGGCGAACGCTTTTTTGCTTTTGATGTTTCAGCAACATGCATGGAGTGGTCCTTTTTGTGGCAATGTTGACTTAGGAAACCAATCTGCCGCCAGGTGTTTGACCAATGTGCCGTCGCTGAATGTCAAGCCAAACCAAGCAAAGCCCAGACAATACATGATCCAAAGAAGCTGCGTCACAGGAACTCACTTCCAAAAAGCTTGGTATCTGGACTAAGATATCTGGACTAAGGGGTCGCCCATGTTGGAAGCTCCCAAAGAGTCGAGTCAAGCTTTAAGGCTACTAAGGCTTGAAGGCTAGTAAATGGGTTGATCGAGTCGCACGTAGACAGAGCACCTCAATAAGCTACTAAGTTGTTTCCGGTGTTTTTGTCATGTGTTCCATCCAACAATATTATATATATATATATAT